AAGTCTTTTGCTTCCTTGATCACATTTTTTTTTTTTTGGTACCGGGGATTGAACTTGGGTCCTTGTGCTTGCGCAGCAGGTGGGGAGACCACTGAGCTAAATCCCCGACCCCTTGATCACATTTATTTCTAAATATTTTATTCTCTTTGATGCTATCATAAGTGGAATTATTATCATTTTAAGTTCTTTTTTGGTGGAATTGTTACCTTAATTTCTTTTTTAGATGCTTCATTATTAGTGCCTTATAAAGGTAAATTTTTGTGTGTTTTGGTTTCTATGTGATGGTTTTATATTCTGCAACTTTGCTGAATTCATTTACTAGTTGTAATTGTGTGTGTGTATGTGTCATCTTTAAGGATTTTTGTATGTACGTTCATGTCATCTGCAAAAAGAGATAATTTTACTTCTTTCTTTCCAGTTTGGATGCATTTACTTTCCTTTTATTGCCTAAATTCTTTGTTTAGGACTCTTCATACTATGTCAAACAAAAACTGAGAGAGGGTGTGCTCTCTTTCAGTTTTCTTGATCTAAAAGTAAAGCTTTCAGTTTTCATCATCGAGTTTGGTACAGCTGTGGGCTTCCCAACATGGTCTGTGTTATATGAATGTTATCCTTTCTATTCCTAGTTTGCTGAGTGTTTTTTCTTTTTATCATGAAAACACATTTAATTTCATCGGATGCAGTTGTTGCATTAATTGAGATGATCAGTGTTTCCCCCTTAGTCTGTTAAGGTGGTATGTCACCATGTTTAATTTTTGTACACCGAACCATCCTTCCATTCCAGGAGCACATCCCACTTGGTTGTGGTGTATAATCCTCCTGAGATGTTTTTGAGTTTGGTTTGCTATTTTTTTGTTTGCGAATTTTTGCATCAATATTTATCAAGGATGTTGAACTGTAGTTTTTCTTGCAGCACTTTTGCTTCATTTGATTTCAGAGTACTGGTGGCCTCTTAAAATAGGTTTGGAACTGATTTCTTTTCTTCAATTTCTCTGCAAGAACTTGAGAGGGGTCTGTGTATTATTCTTTGAGTGCTTTGGCAGAACTCTTCAATGCAACCATCTGATCCTGGGCTTTATTTTGTTAGGAGGTTTTTGATTATTGCTTTTAAACTCCACTGTAGTTATAAGTCTGTTCAGATTTTCAATTTTTCACAATTCAGTCTTGGTAAGCTGTGTATTTCTGCAAGTTTATATAATTTTTATAGGTTGTCCAACCGATGGGTGTCCTCTTGTCCTCTCTCCTGCCAGGTCTCATAGTTGTCAGTCTTTCCAACTTCCCCACAGTGAGGATGCTGTACAAGCCACTTCCTGTGTCCAGATTGTTCCCATCCCACCTCCAGGGGGGGAGTCAAGCCATCAGCAAGGATGTAAAACCAATTTTGAAGCATTTGGACTTTTAGGATGATATGATTTAAAAAACTGCATTTGAAAATCTGACACAGACTTGAAAACCAGAGAGAAAGATGCTTTGGCTTTCATTTACACCGATGCTGAATGCTTTTAGATACTGTAATTCACCACAAGACCATTTTTAACATGCAAACCCTAGCAGTGAAATATCAACTGTAACAGTAACCCAGTCTCTCTAGATTAAATCCATTTCAGTTTCTTAAAACAAATGGAATTTCGGGGCCGGGGATTTGGCTCAGTGGTTCTGGCACTTGCCTCATAAGCACAAGGTCCAGAGTTCGATCCCCGGTACCAAAATAAACAAACAAAACAAACAAACAAACAAAAAACCAAATGGAATTTTCTACCTAACTTATCTGCACTACACCATTCCCAATATCAAAGAGTATGCTCTGAAACTCAGTACAAGAAAAAGAAATAACAATTCTGACTACTGCATGGAGTTTTTGCTGGTGATGGGATTGGCTGGTGCCTCTTCCTGAGCCTCTTTGGAGAAACTGGTCATCTGCACATCAGTTTCTCACTTGGCTACTCATAGTGGGTGAGCGCCACCTTTAAAGGACACCAAGCCCCACCTAGTTAATGGAGGCCAAGGGCACAAACATCTGAAGATCCACTGGCTGAGTCCAGGGGACACCTGGACAGGTGGAGACACTTTTAGCTGGTGACTCAGAGAGGCAAGAACTTAGCAAAACCAGACACAGCAGCAAGTAGACCGCTGCTCTCAAAGCAGGAGGTCTATTTCCTGGGATGTGAATACCTACTATTGGAAAAAGATGGTACAAAACACATGATTGGTAAATTCTGGGTTAAAATGCAACATGTCCCTGAATGTCATTTCTTTCTTTACTGCTGCTTGCTGCCTTTAATGTATATCAATTGTTGCTGTTCCAGAAGGAGGCACCCCCATCGATGCCCTTTCAAACTCCAAATGAGTGTTTCATGGGATCACTTTAGGAAATGCTGTCAAAATCTATCTGGTTGGAATTCTCTAGCCATCCTTTCTGTGTCAGCATTGAATGAGTGGCTTTGTCATGTGAACCTACAGGTGACTGGCAGGAGAGGCATTAGGGTTGCTGTTTTCGTGTCACAGATGGGGAAACTGAGGCTTAGCACAACTCAGTGACTTCCCCAAGGGAGGGTGTGGTGGATCCAGGATTCACGTTTATCTGACTCCAAGCAGCTTTTGTTTCCTAGAGTTGCTGATTCCTTCTCAGATTCTAAAAGGGCCCAAATTGAGGCTATTGAACTTGATTGACGAGAGGCAGTGAATCACGGCATTGCTGTGAGGAAACAAAAGATTTTTCTTCCTAGCCTTTTCTCTTTAGCCTGCAGATCGACGGACACCATTCTAGTCTCCCTGAAGAGCTGAGTTCTCTGAGCCTCAGTTTCCTCACAATGAGCATAGAGGTCAGTACTGACCTATAAGGGTCGTACTGAGATGACCTGATCAGCTGTGAGGGAGTGGCTCACAGTAGGGACAGAAAGGTGGAAAACAGTGCGATCACAACTTAACCTACTGGCATGGCCAATGCCCTTATGGCTCAAGACTGTTTTCCAAACTCCTTGTCCTGGGCAAGGACAGTCACTTTCATCACAGCTGCCGCCAGTGCCAGAGGCATAAGTTACTGTAGGATCAGTGCAAAATGGGAGGTGAGATCTCTCTTCCAGAAGTTATTAAGAATCCCAGGACAGCAACAGCCAAGGTCCAGTTGCAGCCCTGTCATGGCTGATGGTAACATCAAGGGAACTACAGCCTTGGGCTCAGAGGAGGCAGAGAGAGGTGCAATCCTGCCAAGGGGCATCCCCTGGATAGAGATCTAGGTGGCTTTCTGCAGGGGTATTGAGGATGATGGGGCCCCAGCATGGGGAGAGGAGGGTGAGGGGCTAATGCAATGCCCTGAGGTGGGAAGAGAGAGGTCTGGTGGCCTGGGACCCTTGGACCTGAGCTTGGCTGCCTGGACGTCAGGGTTGCAGCCACCTGCTGGTGCAGCATGGGAGATGGAGCAGCAAGCAGCGAGCCTCTGGCCTGGCTTCACGGTCTGTCCAGTTCAATCTCCCCAGTCTCCTTCCACTGTGTGATCAGAAGCTGTCATTCAGCATGGCAAGTGGTAGATAGCAAGATGGAGACAGGGCAGGTGGGGAGGGAGCCCCATTGCCCGGGGTGCTGTGCACACGCTGTGAATTGGGCACAGCCCGTCCTCTGTAAGACCCGAGCCTCTCTGCTGCACTCCTGTAGACATGATTGACACACGCTGAAGCTGGCTTTCACACACCTGCCACCTGTGCCCATGGGTGCCTTTCCTGATGAGCTCTTGCATCCTGCTGGTCACTCAGAAATGAGGCATTTCCAAAGTGATGCCTGCCTTGGTATGGAAGGCAAAGAGGCATAATTGTAAGGTACTTAGCTATGGCTGGAGTAACAGTCAATGGATCCAAAGATTCTCATGTGTGTGTTTAAGTAAGGCTACCTCTCATGACAGGCATAGATCTTTGGTTCACTAGTTAGCAATTTGAGTAGAGAAAGAAAATGTTTTCTGATTGTGGTGAACTTACCATGAATGTCTGTCTTAGTTACTTTTCTCATTGCCGAGACAAAATACGTGATACCTGAAGTTGAGGGAGGAAGACAGTTTGTGGAGGTTTTAGTTCATAGTTGGCTGGCTGCAAGGCAGGATGGCATGGCAGAGGGGCATCCCAGAGGAAAAACAGTTTATGGTGGGCAGAAGGTAGCAAAGCAAGCAAGAAACCTTAGTAACTTCGTTCTCCCCCCTTTATTTTATTCAGACTACTTAGGGCAGGCAGCACTCACACCCTTAATCCTAGCGTCCTTGAGCCTTGCACTGCACCATGAATCACTCACACACTCTAGATTCAGCCACCTCTGAAAAAGCCCCACCTAAGACCACATGAGACTTTGAGGGACATCTAGACACAGCCATAACCATGTTCACTGAAAATGTAGCTGTGCTCTTCTCACTGTGTTCAAGAGCATCCAGCCAGGAGGTGAGCAGCTCCATCTGGGGCCATGTCCTTAGGCAGAGAGCACCATCTCCCCACTGCTTTTCCCTCCTCCCTCCCTCCCTCTCTCATCTGTGTACACCTATATGTGTATATGTGTTTGTGTGTGTATGTTTGTATCTTCCATTATATGTCAATGATCAGGATATATTCAGAGAAACGCAAAATTGGCAATTTTTGTCATTGTGTGAAGATCATAAAAAGCACTTACACAAATAGATGGCTATGGGATTACTAGGTCATGTAGTTTTATGGGTTCAGTTTTATCTGTCATATCTGTCACTGAGTAAAATGTCATCACGTGATGTGTGACTGCATATCAATTCCATCATCCATCTATCTACTATCCATCTACCATCTACCTATCATCTCTGTCTAATTATCATGCATCCATCCATCCAGCATACGACCTGCTGGTTTTTCACCCCTCTCTCTGATGCAGGTTGAAGAGTGACTCAAGTGCAGACTCCCCTCAGCAGCCTGACAAGAGACACAGGAAGCACCTCATTTCCAGGACTTTCGCAGCACAAGAGTGATCGCTGTCTTCCATCCCATTTTCTCTTTCAGGTTCACACTTGGTGCTTAGACAAATTCAGAATGAGGAAACACCGGCATTTGCCCTTGGTGGTCACCTTTTGCCTCTTTCTCTCAGGCTTTTCCATGACTTATGCCCAACAGCAACAACCAGGTAAGGTCCAGAATTGCCCTTTGTTTTATAACAGGGAACAGAAGTTTTTGATTTTTAGATCGTAGACACCACGGGTTGGACATAGAGCTCAGACATTGTTTTAACAGATGGCTCAGCTGTTTATCACAGGATCTTGACTTAGCTTACAGATCTGTCCAGGAATTCTTTGTCCAGGGTGAGACGCATTGTCCTTGTTAAAAACCTGAGTTTGATATCTCAGAGTTGGCTTGAGAGGGGCTTGCTCATACATTGGGTGTGAGCAGAAAGTTTCCGTCACAGAATTTTACCCCCTAGAGCACTCTTCCAAGTTCCTGGCATTGGTTGGTCTCTGAGGACAAAAAAAATAGAGAGAAGACAACTATTGAGAGTAAAAACACTTTTCCCTGCAAAACAGCACAACACAACACAAGACAAAACATCACAAGACAAAACATCACCCTCTCTAGATAACTCTGGACACAAAAGACGTTTTTCATCTAGAGTCATTGGATCTTTAAAACTTGTTTCCCAAAACGACTTTAAAAACCAGATCCTAATAACCCTATGGAGAATTTGCTTTCAGAGTTTCAGGAAAGAGAGAAAAGCTTCATGCGCTGCAAGGGGCAGTTGATTGGGTCCCTCTCCTTTGCCCCGACAGCGGGGCCTCCATGGAGCTTCCCCCAGCTTCCGAGCTGCCCTGGTGGGAGGGTTAATGACACAGGAACTGGGTTGGGCCGAAGGTTGGCCCAAGGTAAGTAGAGCTCTGGAGCCAGCCCAGGCCAAGGGCTGGAAGGCTCCTTTCGGGCACCGACGGCTCTGTTCCCGGGGCGCCTATGTTTGAGGGAGACGCGATGCATCTGGGAATGAGATCGGTCCCATCCAGTGTCTATGAAGACTCTCTGGCTCTGAAAGCCACGCAGTAACAACTGTGGTTAGAAAACTAGGTGTGCTGAAAACCAGGGTCAGAGTCGGGGATTTAGCTCAGTGGTTCCGGTGTCTGCCTCGCAAGCGCAAGGTCCCAAATTTGATCCCCATACCAAAAAAAAAAGAGACTTTCCCCTATTCTACATTCACACAGATCTTCCTGAAGAAGACATACTTATCATTTATATTTCTTGAAAATTACTCAAAGTATTGGGGGTTAGTTCCTGAAAAACAGCAGCAGTTTTCAGGTTTCCATCCTGTCGAGACTCACTTTCATACCCCAAACTGGAGAATGAGTTTCTGAGACAATGGACCATCCCCAGTGATAAGGGAACCCTCTGTTCTGGTTGGTGGCTCTTGGGGGTCAGACTGCCACAAAGAACCATGCTCGAGTCCAAGACACCCCAGGAGTTTTCTGCCATTCTGGAGCACATGCCCGGGCCCTGAATGGTGGTCACCAAATGTGGGACTTGGGCCACGGCTGAGCATGGCCAGCTGTTGGGTCCTTGTGCCGTCCCCCTCCTCAGGTAAGTCAGCCTCCCTGTCCACGCTGCAAGCAAGATGTGAATATTCACGGCCAAAGAGTAAGCTGAGTTTGTGTAGGAAGCCTTTGCATTGGTAGGAAGTAATTACCTGAACAGTAGAAAATCTAAACCAATGTCTTTTTTTGAAGATGTCAAAAATGGTACCGGTGCCGATATAATATTTCTAGTGGATTCCTCTTGGAGCATTGCAAAGGAACATTTCCAACTTGTTCGAGAATTTCTATATGATGCTATAGAGTCTTTAGCTGTGGGAGAAAATGATTTCCATTTTGCTCTGGTCCGGTACAACGGAGACCTGCATACTGAGTTCCTGCTCAATACGTACCATACTAAACAAGAAGTCCTTTCCCATATTTCAAACATGTCTTATCTTGGGGCCAGCAATCAGACCGGAAAAGGATTAGAGTATGTAATTCAGAAGCACCTCGCTGAGGCTGCCGGAAGCCGGGCTGGGGCCGGAGCGCCCCAGGTTATTGTAGTGTTAACCAATGGACGCTCGGAGGATGCTCTGCCCTCAGCGGAACTTAGGGCAGCCGACCTTAACGTGTTTGCAGTTGGCTTTGAGGATGCAGATGAAGGAGCCTTAAGAGAAATAGCAAGCCAACCACTCAATATGCATGTTTTCAACCTAGAGAACTTTACCTCCCTTCATGACATAGTAGGAAACTTTGTGTCCTGTGTGCAGTCATCCCCGAGTCCTGCAAGGGCTGGGGACATGGAAACCCTTAAGGACATCACAGGTAATGGCTCCCTTGCCAGGCTGCTCTCTCTGTGCTGTTCTGTGCGGATAGCTGAGCCTGGTGCCTGCTGGCCTTAAAGCAACAGTGTGGCCAGGACAGCGCGGGGTGCAGGGAAGGGATGAGTGTGCACAGGTTTAAAAACAAAGGTTTGAACATCCTCCATTGGTCTCCTTCTCAAACCCAGCATGCACCTGTATCTCGGAGGAGGGCTTTGTTTTGAAAGAGCTAGTATCTTAGCTCTGAGAGCCACATTCGGTTACGAGCGATCCCTTCCTTAGGAAAGGCCTCCGCCTGCGAGGCGGGCATCCAGTGATCCCTCTCCTCGGCTGACGCGGCAGGGGAACTCATTCCTTCTGGGAGGGCTTCACATGAGCTAGGGGAAAGAGGGAAAGAGGGAAAGAGGCTGCCCACTTTTGTGACCAGCAGAAGAGCAGAGAGCTCCCCTGTCCTGTTCTATGGAGTTTGTTTCAGAGAATTGATAGAATCAGGGTTGTAAGAAAGCTGAGATGTGATCAAGTCCGCGTCTGGAAGGAGTGGAGTCCCTCAGGGGAAGGCGAGTTGGAGACAGGCAGCTGGTGAAGGAGCTGGCACTGGAGCCCGGGGTCTGGACTGCTCATGGGTCCTGCCAGCCATCACCATGTACACCTGCAGACTCCCCAGGTCCCGATGGCCCTCCTCAAGGCCACCCGGGAAGCACTGACGGTGCACGGTTATCTCACCACCCCTGCTGTCAGCTTCCCTGCCATGCATAGTCCCTACGACTCTCGCGCAGAGGAATTTGACCAGCCCCGTGGTGCAGTGGCCTGGATGAGTGTCCAGGGCCAGGCTCCCTCAGAGAGGCAGGATGGAGGGCACCCTGGGTCAGCACGTGAGCCCACAGCCACTTGGCAGCTGTAGCTGGGTCAACAGGGCAGAGAGTTAGGGAAAGCTGAGAGGAGAGGAGAGGGGTCCTTTTGGAGGCAGCAGGAAAAGCTGCATTTTGAGATGTGAGGTGGACAGGAAGGAAGGAGGGAAAACTCAAAGGGGTTGGCAGTGGTCATCTTGATAAAGGAGGTGACCAAGCCTTAGTTGGGCCTGGGAGCTGGAGAGCTTGGAGCTGTTTAGGAGCAGCTTCTGCAGGGCTGTGATGCGGGCCATGCCAAGCCCAGGAAGCCACTGCTGACCTGCAGCGATGTCTGGTGCAGCCTGAGATGACCCACTGATGCTGGTCTCCTGTTAGCTGGGTCCTGATCATCTGCAGTCATTGAAGGCTCTCCCAGAACCTGAGACCTACCAGATTTGGAGCTTGTAAAGGGAATGACAGAGTTGGGGTGGGAATCATGGGGCAGGTGTAGGGAAACAGTGCAGTACTAGCACAGATTTTCTAACAGGGATTCAGAAAGCAGGAAGTGGGGAGAGATAGTTAGATATCAGCAGAAAGGGGCCAGCTGCAAGGCGCAGGCAGAGTGTAGGTAAGACAAGGGGTTCAAAAGCAGTAGCCCCATGGTGCTCCAGAGGGTGCCCATTCAGTGGTTCCCCAGGAAGGGGTGGCGGGTGTCCCCAAGGTCCCCAGACCCCACACTCTGGGTTCCAAGGAGGGGACAGAAGGGCCCCTGAATATCCCACTCTGTTTGGCACAGTAGTCTCAGTCTCACAAACTCATGGATCTCTCACCTTTTGGACTACAGAGGCAACAGCAGGAGGGATCACAGGAGAAAGGGGCAGCATCTTGCTATGCATATAGCAAACTTGAGAAAAGGAACTGACGAGCCTGCCTGCATGCTTAGCCTTTAGATAGACATAATCGAGCTCACATCATGAATGTGATGTGAAAGGCCTAGTGCCTTTTCACACAGGTGACAAAACCTTTGTTTTTATGCCAAGAAAGCATCTCTGTGTTCTAGTGTCCAAGCCACTAGTAGCACCTGGGCAGACTATTAATCTATTTGTTGACTCTTCTGATTAACTGCACGGTGTCATCCCTCTGGTGGTGTGTCCCACTGCATGTCCCACAGCACCAAAGTCCGGCAAGATACATGTGAACTAGAACCAGAACAGCAAGTCTCTGCTGTTAGTTTCTGCACAAGGCTCTGGGAGCATCTGGGAGAGACTGCTGAGAAGTTAGGCCTTCTCTTCTCATGGCCTGCTCAGCAGGATGCTTCCACCTGCAGGGGGCTCTTGGTCATAAAAGGAGCACTTGTCGCATATCAAATGTTAGTCATCACCTCTCTTTTAGACTGCTCAAGTCACCAGTCTCTAGTGGTTGTGTTTTTAAAAATCCCTTTGTCACTGCTTTTAAAACAGAGATAACTAAGACATAATATCTCTATTCTAAAATGAAAGCTAAGCCAGGTGTGGTGGTGCATGCCTGTCATCCCAGCAGTTGATTGCCAGGAGTTCAAGGCCAGCTTGGGCAACACAGTGAGTTCGAGGCCAGCCAGAACTACATATGGAGGCTCAATCTCAGAAAAAAAAAAGAAAGAAAGAAAGAGAAAGAGAGAGAGAAAGAAAGCTAAAGACAATAGGATTTCTGCATACATTTTCTTTTCTTTCTGTGAAATATGAAGATTTCCAAAATTTGTACATCATGCCTACAAGTTTGTGATTTGCATAGGAAACGAGAACAGGCTATTTTTCTTAACAAAGGGAAACATCATATGGGCTGAGGAAGGCATCGCTTCCACACCACATGCTCAGGAGAGTAGTGTTTCCGGTGTTGCTCAGGGAGACCAGGGGTTTCCCTTGGACACTTTTCCATAGAAAATGCCACGGAGGATGTAGTGCATGAGCCACGAAAGTGAAAACCCATACTCCTTCCACCTCTCACAGTTTAGCTGGATGTGCTGTCATGCAACGAATACCAGTTGTGGGTTCGCCTGCTGTGTGCCTCAGCCCGCGGCTCCCGGGTCCTTGCGAGGCTTTGGCTCTGCTGGATAACAAAGCATGCTCTGTGTGTCCCATGATTGTGCGTGGAAAACGATGGTGTTTTTTATTCGGTGATGACAAATTATCCAATGTGTTTTTATGACCTGCTGCTTCAGAGGTTCAGCCTCTTGGAAATGTTCAGACTTCCCCTCAGGGTTCATTTATCTTATTTATGCTATTCTAAACTGCAATCCCAAACTAATTAATAAATGAGGAAGGAATAGTGTCATGCTATGAGTCTGTATCATTTTTGATTGGCCGTGTGGAGTGTATGTAGTTAATTGGTTGGCATAGGCCCGGAAACGGGAGGAATTTTGTGACATGCTGTGCAGTCTCCGCCTCACACACAAGGCAAGCATTGCTGTGACTGTTTCCTCATTCATTCTCCTGGGCTCTGAAAAGTGGCGGAGGCTTTGAGGCTCTAAGCAGAGACCCAGTCTTATTTGGAAAGTCTGTGGAATGGCTATGAAAAACCCAAGATCTTAATTACTGTAGCAAAACAAATATCCTTTTTCTGTCTCACGAGGAGGATTGAGACAGCAATATTTCCAAGTTTATCCTCTCCCCCTGCAAAGAGTTAATTGGCAAAACTGTTGTGGGCTGGTGTGTATTTAGGAGGAGAGAGCCGTGCTCCCACAAGGTCAGCTTGCACAAGAAATCCCTTCTCTAAAGGAAAATGCTTGTTTTTCATAAGAGGAGATAAGAATTCTTTTCCAGAGTGAAAGTAAAAACAATTTAGCTGGCATGAAAAAAAATCTTAGAAATAAAATGTTCCTTGGCCATAAGGTCAGAATGAATGGTGTTACCTAAACTATTGCCCAAATAGAGCTTTCTAGAACCCCAGATGCTTTGCACAAATATCTCTTCTTGTCCCTGGCACACAGTTAAGGTATTAAACATATTCATCAGGAATGATTCCACTTTTTTTTGTTGTTGTTGTCAGTTTAAACCAATCTGACTTAAGTGTTCTAACTGAGCCTTTGGAATATTCTGCCCTGGTTTATAGACTCACAGATTGCTCTTCATTGTTCAGAGCTTTTGTGTAACCCTCATTTGGTAACTGAATGGAAGGCTCATGTTCACCATTATAGGGAGGAAAAGGAGGAATGGTCAGCCTTTCTTATGTCTTTTGTGCTCAGGATCCCGCTAGATAATCTGTTCAGGATGTCATAAAAATAAGGTTGGATAATTATGTCATGACTGGTTTCATATCACTCTGCTTAACATTGTTCTGCATTATATGATTGAATACAGAGGCAAGGGCAAAAGTAAATAAAAAATAAAGCCAACCCAATCCCAGACCTGCATTCAAGTTTCACACAACTCAACAGCATGTGAGAAGGAAAGATTGAACCAAAAATTCCTCCAAGTGTTTTTAAAATGAGAACTGTAAATGAAGTTTGAGTTCTGATTCACAAACTTGCATGTGCTCAGCCATTTTGATTTTTAAGAAAAAAAATAAACAACAGTGACTTAAGGAATCAAGTAACATTCTGGGGTGATAAATCACCATGCTGTGAATCTGAATCCTGTTTCCTCAGCTGTGGATTTGCATAAAAAATTCCCATAATCACTTGAAGAGGCAGGAGAAATGACCTCAAATTAGGCATCATCTTGGGATTTTTATTAATCCACCCATTTATTTTCTCCTGCAGGTATGGTAACACTCAGGCCCCTTTCCCTCTAAAATTCAGTAGAAACTTCCAGAATATGTACCTGAAATTTCCCCCTCAGAAAAGTGTGTACGATGTTTTGAAATTTAACTACAAAGTTGGCACAAATGAAAATTTGATATCAATACCTTATCTCAAACCTTAATTTCTAAGAAGTTGCCTCTTATCCATTCAGAATGCAGAACCCAAAGAGAATTTCACATTCTGTAATCAACATTGTGTTTTGCCTATATTTCGTTGTTTCTTATTGGTTTCCAAAGAAACATGTCAGAACACTGAATGATGCATGTGGTCATTTGTTCTAACACTTTCACAATTTTTGCATTTCTTTCTTTTAAAGCACAAGACTCTGCTGACATTATTTTCCTTATTGATGGATCAAACTACACCGGAAGTTCCAATTTTGCAGTCATTCTCGACTTCCTTGTAAATCTCCTTGAGAGACTTTCAATTGGACCTCAGCAGATTCAAGTAGGGGTGGTCCAGTATAGTGATGAGCCCAGAACCATGTTCTCCTTGGACACCTACGTTTCCAAGGCTCAGGCTCTAGCTGCAGTGAAGGCCCTCAAGTTCACTGGTGGGGAGTTGGCTAACATCGGCCAGGCGCTTGACTTTGTGTTGAAGAATCACTTCACCCCGGCAGTGGGCAGCCGAGTAGAGGAAGGGGTCCCCCAGGTGCTGGTCCTCATGAGTGCTGGGCCTTCTAGTGATGAGATCAGCGACAAGGTGGTAGCTCTGAAGCAGGCTAGTGTGTTCTCATTCGCCCTCGGAGTCCTAGCAGCCTCCAGGGCAGAGCTTCAGCACATAGCTACCGAGGACAGCTTGCTGTTTATGGTCCCGGAATTCCATAGCTTTGGGAACCTCCAGGAGGAGTTACTGGGGTACATTGTTGCCATTGCCCAAAGACACATTTTGTTACGACCGCCAACCATTGTCACACAAGGTATGTATACTCTTCTCACCATCCCTGGGAATGGGGTAAGTTGTATGTTGGATTGCACAGGAGTAAGGTGGGCACCAGAGAGATTCACCTCAGGAAAACTTGTAAGTACCTACAGTCCAGCCCTTTCACAATGAACTGGCTCCTGGATGTGATGCTTGTGATTGTTGTGGTGTTTCTAAACCCTAAAGATTAACAAGTGTATGAAAGCTTCTATTAGAGTATGAGTCATGGAGAAAGTGTGTTTTCAAGCTCCCTCAACAAACCTATCACTCTGAGAGGGTTTTAAACATCATTGTATTATCTATGTATAATCCAGCCATTCTAGAGATGGATTTGAGGGCTCATTACAATTCTGAGAAAGCTATTTCAGGATAATGACACTGACTTCTAGGTCAGCATGTGGGAAGCATGCTCATAAAGTGCAGTGAAGGAGCGAGTTGTCTCCTTAAAATCCATCTGTGCTGGACATTGAGAGGTACATTTTGAAGGTAAGAGACAGAAGAGCACTTGCTTGATGGAATGTTCATGGGACATTTTCCCTGTGCCTTTCATGTTTAGGAGTAACTTATTGGAGTGGCGAGACTCTGACATGTACTCAAATGCTCAGTCATTGGCAACACAGTCAACTGGAGTTAATTAAAAATCACAGAGCCAACAATCACCTAAGAAATGTGGATTTAGCCATTGTGGGAGATGGGAGAGGTTGTCAGAAACACACAGGTTCTCCCCCCAGCCTCCTTGGACAGAGACATCAGTCACTTTTAGGACTGTGTCAATTCCGTGACCTCGGTCGGGCTAATTGGATGCCGTTCAGGAAATTAGGGACATGGTAGCCCCCAGTGGTTTCTAGAAGCACCTAAGTCACTTCCCAGTGTGGCCTGCACCCTGCACCACTCCGGCAAGACCAGTCTCACAACCCACAGTCTTGTTGAGTGAGAGACCTCATTCTTCGATGCCCTTCTAGGGCTTCCTCGGAGTGTGGGCTGTGTGCAATTGGCAAATGAGCTGGACTCAATGTGAGACTGGTCTTCATCTGCAGCCAGTGGGTTAAATGTTCACAGCTCATTTGTGCTAGCTTTCTTAGTAAAGGACTTGGGGCTACCAAATAATTCTTATAAGAAAGTCCTGCCTCACCCATGGCTACCGGACTAGTTCTCTTTTGAAAAAGGAGTGACAATAATTTAGAAATAAACCACTGTATGAAACCAAGAGGGGACATTTTAAAGTCTGAGGTAAAAGCTTCTTTCTTGGCTTCCATGCGGAACTGGATCTCTACTTCACAACACTGTGCTAATGAGTGGGTCAGGGTATCACGTAAACAAAAAGGCGTTATCCACCATTTCCTTAAGAGGGTGTAGAATTCAAGTGGAGGTGGCCTAACTTCCTGAAAATGACTTCCAGGCAGGGCTTGTGTTGTCATGACAACCATAGGCACAAAGCTCAGGGTCTTAGTTTGGACATCAGCCTGTGTCAGGGGCCGTGGTAAGAAGAGTGTGTGAGAATTGCTTTCCAGAGAAGGCTCCCTGGAGCATTTTGTTCACAAGGGCCAGTGAACGGCTTCTAGCTGGCTCATTCAGGTTCCAGCTTTCCTCTTCCTTCTGGGGAGCTGAGAGGGATAGAAATTCCAGTAGAAATGGACAGGGAAAAGCAGCACATGTGCAGGGTGCAGGCCTGCCTGTCTGCTGCTTTGAGCTCCTTAGCTTGTTTCCCTGGGTGCCACTCTGTGGCCCTGGCAATTAAGGAAGCAACCAAGAGACTGCAGCCTGCTGAGGTGTCTCCGGCTCCTCCACTGTTGGAAGCAAATGCTTTCCCTAGGACTTTGTAACGCAGAGGAAGGGCTGGGGCTGAAGTTAGCAGACCTGGCTCCTGGTTCGGGGTTTCCGGTCGACAAGCGGGGTGATTGCAGGCAGGTCACACAACCTCTCTGAGCTCTGACTCCTGAAATGCTGGCAAAGGAATTGCACTACATGAAAATATTTTTGTTCTGGAGAAGGTTCAACTTCTTTCCTAAATGGGCAGCACGTTACTCTCATTTCAGATTTTCTTTAGCTAGAGTTTAAGTCCTTTATAAACATTGTCTTTAGCCTTAGTGATTAGCTTGTAAATATTCATCGGATATTCTTGACTGTCTGGTGTATACTGGGCACTGTGCCGAGTGACACAGCACTGGCCAAAGACACAGATGTGGTTGCTTGTCTTTTGCAGCACCACGGGAAGAGGGATAATGAAAATGTAAACGACCGAGCAAGCAAGACATTCCCACAGTGTGACAAGTAACACAAGACCCCGCAGGGTCGTGTCGGAGAGAATGTGGGATGGGGCTCAGGGTTGAGAGGCTGAGAAGCTGTGGGGTGCAGAGGAGAAGCACAGAGGAAGCAGGGGCAGGAGGACACCCCAGAGCATGGCCCCTTCCTGGAACCTTGTGGAAGCAGCAAGGCTGGGATGTCAGGGGCTATGGAGAGGGTCCAGTCTCACTCCGCATGTGGGAGGCTGGAGGAGCGGCCGGGCGGGGCTTGTGGAGTCTGGGTGAGGACAGGGTATTTGGGGCTGGGGCTCATCTAGGTTCAGAGGCAGGGCCTGTAGGGAGCACGGCCAAAAAGCAGCAGGGTCTCAGGGTAGTGGCTGCATGGTGGGGTGGTGAGGAGAGGCAGGCCCTGGGGTGGAGTCTGATGAGGGGAGATTGGCTTTGTGGGAGACACAGGAGTGGGAGGGAGGGTGAGGAGCCCAGAGAGGAGTGTGTGCCCCAGGGAGGTGAGATCCCCAGGGACCCAGATGGTGGGAAGCTTTGTGGGCTGAGCACCAGGAGATCCACCCATGGGTGGGTCCACATGGAGATCACTGGATTCCATGCACCGCTGGTTCCATGTGCACCAAAACAGGGCTCCCTGGTAGGATGGATTGTAGCTTGGCCCCAGGAGGGGCTGGGTTTGGGAAGGGTGAGTGTGACAGTCACCTCCTCCCACCCGAGACACCATACTGCTGCTGGAAATCAGGAAGAATGAGCAAGGCGATGCACTGTGAAGCACAGGTGACCATGAGTGTGTGTTCATCTGCTGCAGTGGCGTGTGCAGTAGATATGCGTGGGACCCAGACACAGTGTATTATACATGGCTGTACACGAGCGCTGACGCATGGGTGTATACCTGGATTATGCTAATGACATAAGCGCACGAGAAGTCTGCCAGCCATCCACATGCTCAGGTTTACCTGTAAAGATATTTTAAACCAAAGTCGAAGGCTCAGCCCAGAGAGACAGTGAGTTCTGAACTAAAGGAAGGACCGAAGCCCTGAGTGGGTGTCCATAACCTTGACTATGACCTTGCAATAGTGCAAAGAGGTTGGGTACGTGCTGTTGGTAATCGAGGAACTGCATTAAGTATATCAGGGCATGAAATGTCACCCTCCTGTTAGAACACAGCCCTGCTCTTGGTGCTGAAATGTGTCAGGGAGGTGTACTTGTCCTTATGCACAAACCAGTGATTCAGATCAGCCCCGAGCTCCCAGCCTCCTGTCTTCATAGCGAGGAGGAGCTGTGTTTAAATTGCACTGCAGAGGGAGGCTCTGATTCTTAGGAGACTCTTCCTTACCTTTATCCCACACCTTCTCCTCAGCCGGGTGCTGCAGAATCAAATGCTGCATAGCTGTCTGGAGGGTGAGTGGCTGAGACCTTCTGCACACCTCCTGTGCTCAGCCACGTGGGTTCTCTTCCATCTTGGAAGTCCTCCCGGCTTCCGGCTTGGGTGCCGAGCTCTAGGACAGCGGGCAGCTTATGCACGTTCCAAGAGAACACTGGGAAAGAGTTCCCAGTGGCTGTAGGCAGTGATCTTGTGGAGACATTTTTCCGTGTGGTTTGTCTGTGAATTATCACAGGAACACGCATGATACTTAGGACCTACAACCCAGGCCTCATAAGTGAAAAACTTGGTGGCATGGGCTAGCTGTGATGTGGATTTCCTTTTCTGTTTTAAACAAAGACTTTGAGTTATTTTTTTCACTGGAAAAAGCAGTCAAAGAATATGGAAGTGAAGAGTGTTCATACTCTTTCAGCTTTTGTACTTGAAATGCAGATCATGACCTCAAGGGCTGTCTCAGCAGACATAGGTTGCTTTCCTAACCCATCAAACTGTAGCTTCCTTCTGGGCAAGTTATGCTTACGGCAGAAAACAACCGAGTGCCCTCCTACTGACAGCATGCTCAGCCCGTGGTGACTGGACCTAAGTGTTTGTGCAGCTATTTTATGAGATGGATTGAGAGGAGGCAAAGCGGGATGAGCGAGTGTGTTGTGACAAATGTCAGCTGGGCAGCCCTGATGTCATGTGGGTTGCGTGGGCGGGAGTGCCCCTGAGGTGGAGGTGGCCATGAGAGCCTGGTGGAGCCTGATGGGTGGGCCGCGCTGCTCACCTTTCCATGTTGCTGCCCACAGCCATTGAAGTCAACAAGAGGGACATAGTCTTCCTGGTGGATGGCTCGTCCAAACTGGGGCTGGCCAACTTCAATGCCATCCGAGACTTCATTGTCAAAGTCATCCAGAGACTGGAGATCGGGCAGGACCTCATCCAGGTGGCGGTGGCTCAGTACGCAGACACTGTGAAGCCCGAGTTTTACTTCAATACCTACCCCAGCAAAAGGGAAGCCGTAAACGCAGTGCGGAAAATGAGGCCCATGGAGGGCCCAGCCCTGAACACAGGCTCTGCCCTGGACTTCATTCGCAACAACCTGTTCATCAGTGCAGTTGGCTCCCGGGCCGCCGAGGGGGTCCCTAAGCTGATGGTGCTGGTCACAGGTGGCAAGTCCCTGGACGCCGTCAGCCAGCCCGCCCAGGAGCTGAAGAGAAGTGGCATCATGGCCTTCACCGTCGGGAACAAGGTGGCCGATCAGGCTGAGCTGGAAGAGATCGCTTTTGATTCCTCCCTGGTGTTCATCCCGGCCGAGTTCCGAGCTGCCCCCCTGCAAGGCATCCTGCCCGGCCTGCTCTCGCCCCTCAGGACTCTCTCCGGAACCACTGAAGGTGAGGTGGTATGGCTCATGGTGCGGGAGGCCCGCAGCAGGGCCTGTGGGGAAATAAAACAGTGAGGTTGGGTTGGTGCTTAGCCGAGAGAGCTGTTCCATGCCGGGAACAACAGCAACAAACAGGGCTGATCTCAGGCTTCCCTTTGTGCTCTCAGCAGGTTCTAAAACAGCGTATGAGAATGGTGTGACCTGCCCGTGTCCTCCACCCACCGCCCAGGGCAGTGAGGACCAGCCTGGGGACCAGGCTCCTGCTCCGTCCCAGCTGCCCCATAGTGTGCAGTGCCCCTGGCTAGGGACCCTTCAGGGGAAGACATGGGGAGGGGAGGGGAGGTGTGAAGGCTGACCAGGTTCTTCTGCTCCCTGCTCAACATGACTGCTGGTATTTTTCAGACAGGGCGAAGTTCTCTAGCCCGAGAATTAGGTAAATGCAATTCTCTGTCCATAATGAAGAGAAGATGAATATTGCAGAGCAAGTCTTCCTATGTGACTTGGTGCATGTCCTCCTGCTTGGATGTCTGCTTCCTTTCACTAAAATTCTGGTTTTAGATGCTCTCAGAGACTCTGTCTCTCTCTCTCTCTCTCTCTCTTTCTCTCTCTCTCTGACTTCTAATCTACTCTTTTATAGCCAAAGCTCAACTTCATGAACATAGGATAAAACATAGGACTAAATTACAGTGAGACCAGAGGAAAAAAAATGAATAAGTACTTTTTTGGGGGGAGTTAGTTTTTAGGAGATAGGATTTTGCCGTGTAGCCCAAGCTGACCTTGAACACAGGATCTTCCTGTCCCAGCTTCCTGAGTGCTGGGGTTACAGATGTGCACCTGCACACCCAGCTGGGAAATATGCTTTTTAAAGGCACGGGCTAAGTGTGTCAGGGAAAAACAATCATCTGTCAGCATCCGTGGATGATGGGATCCAGGATCCCCATGGATACAAAAATCCAAGATGCTCTGGTCGGTGTATAAAAGGACGTAGCATTTCCATAGACCCTGCGTGCATCCTCCTGTATACTTCACGTCATCTCTGGATTAATTATGTCACCCAGTGCAATGCAAATGCTGCTTGTAAATTATACTGTGTTATTTAGGCAATCATGATGAGAACAGAAACCCGCACGTGTTTGGGATGGACCTAATTTTTTCCCAAGCAGTTCTGATCTGGCGTCAGTTGAATCTGCAGATGTGGGGCCCACAGAGATGACGAGTCTGTGGTGCTCTGATTTGAGAATTATAGTTTTATTCTCCACGTGGATCCCGCCAGCCAAGCATAGCGAGTAGTCTCTTTGTATGTTCCTGATCATGCCTGACCCCACTGCCTCCCTTTGGACCAAGTGCCCAGAGCACTGGCTGGGCCCCAGGAGGAGGGCAGCAGGCAGAGGTCAGCAGGGGAGGGGGGGGTCTTCTGGAGAACAGCCTTCTGGTGTTCTTAGCTCAAGCTGCTGTAGGCTCACTGCGCCCAAGTTGTACACAGAAAGCTCCCCATCAGTGCACATAGGGAGGCCCGGAGGACCCGCTCAGGCCAGGGTGAACCTGGCTGTGAGGGCCGTGTGGAGAGGTGACACAGAAAGGCCATCACCTTGCAGAGTTCATTTCCAGGGAAGCAGCGCTGCGTTTCGGGGATCCCGATGGCCGTGTTGGCTGTAAGCATTCTAACTTCGGCATTGCGTCTGTCTATCAGCCAACTTGGTGTGCACACCTGGTTACTGGTCAGCCTTGCCAGCACCGCCACCAGGAGAGGAAGATATGCAGCCACTGCCGTATTTTCCCAGCGGACATGCTTTGCTGCACCTGCTCCCTCTGCGTCCTGGTGTGGGCATGCGTGCCTCGGGGCCGGCACACATGGAGCCTCTGTGTGCGTGTGTGTGTGTCACTTTGTTTTCTGTGCTTCACTGCAGTTCACGTAAACAAAAGGGATATCATCTTCCTTTTGGATGGATCAGTCAACGTTGGAAAAACCAATTTCCCTTATGTGCGTGACTTTGTCATGAACCTAGTTAACAGCCTTGATGTTGGAAATGACAATATCCGTGTCGGTTTAGTGCAATTTAGCGACACTCCAGTGACAGAGTTCTCTCTAGACACATACCAGACCAAGGGCGAGCTGCTCGCTCACCTGCAGCGCTTGCAGCTGCAGGGGGGCGCAGGCCTGAACATGGGCTCGGCCCTCAGCTATGTCCATGCCAACCACTTCACTGAGGCTGGCGGCAGCAGGATCCGCGAACACGTGCCACAGTTGCTGCTCCTGCTCACGGCTGGGCAGTCTCAGGACTCCTATTTGCAAGCTGCCAACCAGCTGACTCGAGAGGGCATCCTGACCTTTTGCGTGGGGGCCAGCCAGGCGAATAAGGCAGAGCTTGAGCAGATTGCCTTTAACCCGAGCCTGGTGTACCTCATGGACGATTTCAGCTCCTTGCCAGCTCTTCCGCAGCAGCTGATTCAACCCCTAACCACTTATGTTAGTGGAGGTGTGGAGGAAGTGCCACTCGTCCAGCCAGGTAAAGCACCCGGCAGCACAGCCCCCTCTGTCGTCCTGGTCTGCAGAGCCCTCCTGACCTGTGCTGGCCTGAACACAGGGGCCATGGGACCACGTGGAAGATGATTAGTGGCTCATTTTGGTCGAAATGTTTTGAACAGGGATTTAAGACACTGTACCAGCAAGGTCAGAGTTTAAAGGGTGTTTGCTAACGAAAATACCTAGCTTCAGACTTGCTGTCTGTGGCTTCCCACTCTTTATTGAGAGGCTACTCAGGCTCCACTGATGCTTATAAAGATTCTGGAGTTAAAATCCAGATGTGAGGGAGCTTGAGGGGGGAGGGCAGAGGCTCTTTCATACATGACTATGCCTTGGCCTCATTCAACAATCGAAATTATTTTCTTTATGTGGATTTTTATGTTCAGACTCTGCTATAGCTAAAAATCATCTGTGCATCTTTATGGAAGCGTGAAATGGTTTCCAAAGGAAGCCTGATTGCTATCATTATGTGAGTGAGCTGTGGATGTATTTGAGCCAGCAGCTTGCTCGCGTCCCAGAGATGGTGACAAGATGGCCCCCGGAAAGCTATCTGAAACGGGCTTAGGGACTGTAGGAACTGGACAGTCCAGCTTCCTCCATGGTGGCCTGTGGCCTCCTCCAGGCTGTCCTCTGAGTCTTTGTGGTCCAACTGCAGCGGATTGGAGAGTGCTGGTAGAGTCCTGACCATGTGGCCATGGCTGGGCCTTAACTCACAGCCTCACAGACACCGAACAGGCAATCCAGTCAGAGCAGGCTGTAGAAATCCAGTTTTCCTTGGGCAGTTCACCGTGTTAGCCTCTGTCCCTGGAGACTGAGGTCAGTTTTTAGCAAAGGGACAATGAAGACCCCACTGTTGCTGGTTTTATTTAGAGCGAAGTGAAAATGCACTTGTTGAGCAGAGCCTGGCAGGGTGCAGTGGCTGGCTTTGCAGAGGACCAAGGCACTGGTGCAGATAGGCCCCGCTGTGAAGCAGCCGGTGCCATGCCGAGTGGTGGTGCTCTCTGCTCACACTGGTACAGGACTGTGACCCGGACTCCCACTGCCAAGTGCGGGGGTATGGGGCTGATCTGTTCAAGGCCTGTTGGATCTCTTTGCTCACTCTGTCCTCCTCTACCTTTTTTGTAGAGAGCAAGAGGGACATCCTGTTCCTCTTTGATGGCTCTGCCAACCTCATGGGCCAGTTCCCCGCCGTCCGTGACTTTCTCTACAAGATCATCGATGAGCTGGACGTGAAGCCAGACGGGGTCCGGATCGCTGTGGCTCAGTACAGCGATGACGTCAAACTGGAGTCCCGCTTCAACGAGCACATGACCAAGCCAGAGATCCTGAACCAGGTGAAGCGGATGAAGATCAAGATGGGCAAAACGCTGAACCTGGGCTATGCCCTGGACTTCGCTCAGAGGTACATCTTCGTGAAGTCCATGGGCAGCCGCATCGAGGACGGAGTGATGCAGGTCCTGGTGCTGCTGGTGGCGGGGCGGTCCTCGGACTCCGTGGAGGTGCCGGCGAGAAACCTGAAGCAGAGTGGCGTGGTTCCGTTCATCTTCCAAGCCAAGAATGCCGACCCTGCTGAGCTGGAGCGGATCGTGCTTTCCCCGGCTTTCATCCTGGCTGCAGAGTCGCTCCCCAAGATCGGGGAGCTGCAGCCCCAGATTGTGAACCTCCTAAAATCGGTGTACAACGGGGGCCAGCCGCCAGGTATGGGGGCTGCGCTCAAGGCAGAGCTGGGCTCAGCTTCCTGGCTCTGGGCCCCTCCCAGGGAATGGGGAGGACAGAAGCTAACAAGTGGTTTCCATGGGAATAGAACATGCACTGCCTTTCCTTGCTGTGACTTTCTAGCTGCTCTCTAGGGCAAAACAGGAGAATATGAGTGATTATTTTTAAGAGCATGAGACTATTTCATAATAAGATACATTATAAAGATTCCAGTGTCCTCAGATAAAATCTTCTCTCGAAAAGTTTTATTTTGCTGTATGCATAACAAAAAGCCATAAAAAACGGTTACCTTGCAGCAACAGCAGTCTTTACCTTCACATTCCCGCAGCGCCTGTTTCAAGCCGTGTCCCTGTTGGCTTCTTTCCCTGACTGCATTCACTAACAATCGAAGGTGCTAGAGTCAGATCCGTGCCTATCATAAACACAGTCTTAAAATTTCCAACTGCTAAGTCACACTACCATGAGTTTCCGTTTCATCACTTTTCCTTGGGGGGTGAAAATGCAGTGAAAAGAATAATTTCACGCGAAGTTCTTTGGGTTGAAGCCTGAGATTCTGGAGCGTCCTCACTGGTGCCTGGTCCCGCACATGGGCGGCACCTGGACCTCTGGGCCCCGTGGCTGGCAGCCGGCTACCTCACCCCTCCCTGCTGCAAAATGCCATCTCTCCTACCCACCCCTGATGTTTCTCCCGAGTTCACCTTCAGAGGTTAACAATTCTGCTCCAGCGTGTAAAAGTTCTAAAGTTTTTTCCCAATGGGAGCATTTGTTTTGCATTGCTGCCCTAAACCACACATTTCATGGCTCGCGTGGAAATGAATGTGTTCCCTGGTAAATTTAGAGGTCAGGAATCGGAAACCAGCCTCTCAGGGCTGAAGTCAAGGCCGGCAGGCCTGTGCCTTCTGCAGGGGACAGGAGATTGTCTGTGTCCTCTTGGCCTCTGGCTTCCAGAGGTGACCTGTGTTCCCTGGCTGGTGGCCTTGTCCCCAGCCTGGAAGCCACCAGCGTGGCATCTCCCCTGCTCTCTGACCTCTTGACTTGTTCCTGTGAGGATGCTTGAAGTTGGTGGAATGATTTGGGGCCCTGGATAATCCAGAATGACCCCCCCCTTAGACCCCACCTGGGAAGTGAGGGTTTGGAAATGGACTTTTGTGGGGGCCTTCGAGCACCCCACCCTGTCAGTGGGAAGGTGTGGCCCTCCTGTTCCTTGTGAGTCATCTGGCGTCTGTGTCCCAGCTTCAGGTGAGAAGGACGTGGTGTTCCTGATCGACGGCTCCGAGGGTGTCAGGAGCGGCTTTGGGCTGCTGAAGGACTTCGTGGAGAGGCTGGTGCAGGGCCTGGACGTGGGCCCCGACCGCGTCCGTGTCGCCGTGGTGCAGTACAGTGACCGCACCAGGCCCGAGTTCTACCTGAACTCCTTCATGGACCAGCAGGGTGTCATCAGCGCCATCCGCAGGCTGACCCTGCTGGGTGGGCCAGCGCCCAGCACCGGGGCAGCCCTGGACTTTGTGCTGAAGAACATCCTGACCCGCTCTGCTGGGAGCAGGATGGAGGACGGCGTCCCCCAGCTCCTGATTGTGCTCACGGCTGACAGGTCTGGGGACGACGTGAGGGGCCCTTCGACGGTCCTGAAGAGGGGGGGGGCAGTGCCCATCAGCATCGGCATCGGGAATGCGGACATCTCGGAGATGCAGGCCATCTCCTTTATCCCGGATTTCGCCGTGGCCATCCCCACCTTCCGGGAGCTGGGGACCGTGCAGCACGTCATCTCTGAGAGGGTGACCCAGCTCGACCGTGAGGGGCTGAGCAGGCTGCAGCCCATTTTTCTGCCCCCAACGAGCCCAGGTAAGGGTGGCAGCCCTGGCAGCTGAGAAGGCAGTTAGCTATGAGGTGCCATCCTCAGTAAGCCTGCCCAAGGCTGCTCTCCCTGGGCACCTGGGCAGGGGCAGTGGCGGCCCTGAGTGGGGCTGAGGCAAACTTGTTCCCCCAAGGCTTGGAGAAGGGGGGCTGGGAAGGGGGGGGTCTGCAAAGTGAGGGAGAGGCAGGGACCTCGTGCTGTGCCCTGCGGTGGTCAGGGGGCTCAGAGGCTTTCGGGAGGCAATTGAGGGTGTCACTGGTGTCAGGACAGAGTAGCATGCCCCGCTGGCTTCCGCGGGATGTCTCAAACCTGAGTCAGCCAGCCCACCCGGGAAAGAGTGGGACAAAGCGAGAGATATTTGCTTTCTTTTCTTGGTACTGGGATCGAACTCAGGACCTTGCGCTTGTGAGGCAGGCAGCGGCACCACTGAGCTACATCCCTGGCCCGATATTTGCTTCTTTCTTTTTTTAATCCCTCTCGTCGATGTGCTGTGTGTATCTCTGACACCATAGGAGAAGCAGCATTTCCAAACTTATCTGGCAGCACAAGTCTTTGTTACCATGCACCCGGGCCCCAGACTCACAGAAGGCCCCCTTCCAATCCTGTCCTCCTTCCTATGGGCAGTGTCTTTTCTTTACGTTTTTAGCGCTGGGGATTGAACTCATGGCCTTTACACCAAACTACATCTCCAGGCCTCTCCTCCCTTCCCATCCCCATTGCTTGCTCCTCTCCTCCTTCAGCTTGTTCTCTGCCACTGGCCTTGGGTCCCAGTACTACAAGAAAATCAAAGAGAGCTTCCGGGAACTCTCTTCCCATCACCCTCCACCACGCTGGGTGGCTCTGCGGTAATAAAAGTGCACTGGCTTTCTCTCTTAGACACTTTCTCAGTACCTTTCCAGCAGCAGTGGGCTCCTCTGCAGCCCATCTATACTCTGTCAAATTCCCCTCCTCCTGGCCTCACTGAACCCACCCAAACTGGTCCCTTCCCCCCTCCACCCCCACCAGAAGAGCACTCGTCCAAGTCCCTCCAACTGGCAGAGTGGCCCAAGTCAGGCACCAGCTTCCTTTCTCTGTGAGCAGCGCTTCCAGTGTCTGCCTCCTTTGGGACCCTTCTTACTTCACCTTTGCAGCTCCTGCTCTTCTCTCTGACATTCGGATGCTGAGATGCCCAAGACTTGCTCCCTTGACTGGTATTTGACTATGGTGGTAGCTACTTGGATCGCTTGTTGGATAGACAGAGGCTCCTTGACGGACTGAGGTGGCTCGTTAATGCTAAGAATTTGATGCCCGTAAAGGTGAAGCCCATGGTCACGTTTGGTTCACTGCAGGTGGTGCCAAGAGGGATGTGGTCTTCCTCATCGATGGGTCCCAAGCTGCTGTCCTGGAGTTCCAGCACATCCGCACCCTCATTGAGAGGCTGGTGGACTCCCTGGACGTGGGCTTTGAGACCACGCGGGTGGCGGTCATCCAGTTCAGCGAGGACCCCAAGGTGGAGTTTCTGCTCAATGCCCACTCCAGCAAGGATGAGGTGCAGAATGCCCTGCGGCAGCTGCGGCCCAAGGGCGGCCGACAGGTCAACGTGGGGAGCGCCCTGGAGTATGTGTCCAGGAACATCTTCAAGAGGCCGCTGGGCAGCCGCATAGAAGAGGGCGTCCCACAGTTCCTGGTGCTCATCTCATCCGGGAAGTCGGCCGACGAGGTGGACGACTCGGCTGTGGAGCTGAAGCAGTTCGGCGTGGCCCCGTTCACCATCGGCAGGAATGCAGACCAGGAGGAGCTGGTGAAGATCTCCCTGAGCCCCGAGTATGTGTTCTCAGTCAGCACCTTCAGGGAGCTGCCCAGCCTGGAGCAGAAGCTGCTGACACCCATCACCACCCTCACTGCCCAGCAGATCCAGCAGATCCTGGCGAGCACCCACTACCCTCCACCAGGTAAGGTCCTGGGACAGGGAGGGGGTGTTTTCCATAGAAAAATCTGCAAGCTAAAGGCCGTGCTACCCGGGAGAAGTGAATTTCCCATAAAGGCGGTGCCCCTCAGCTCCTAACAGCCGACACCCACCTCCCGGAGACCCCGGGACACACCTGGGACGGACCAGGTGGGCTGTGTCTCTTGCCACAGCTCAGGGGTCAGGGGCCGGGGCATCCGAGAAGGGTGTGGAAGGCTCAGTGTGGACTTGGAGCTTGTGTCGGGTAATCTGTGCCAGGTAAGCTCGTGCCAGGAGCTCGGGCCTGGACTGGAGGAGCTGAGAAGTGGCGAGCACGCTGTGAGTGGCCATCTTGGCCTGTCTAGGACGAAGGGTAGCAGGGGTCACGGTCACTCCTGCTCCGCCGCACAGGCATTTGGGGCTTCTGTGGCTTGGGCCAGGATCTTCCTCCGTCAGAGCGGGCCGGTCTGTGCTCTGCCCCATTGTGGTGGCTGCACAGTTCCCCCAGCTGAGGCCGAGGCACTGTGCATGCATCATTCTGCCCTGCAGGGGACCCCAGGTTGTGTGGCCCCTGGTGTGAAGCTGCTTTTCTATTTCTCAGGAGATGATTCAGTTACGAAATTAGCCCAGCAACCCTACTGTAAGTAACCCAGTGAGGGATAAGGCAAGAGCCAGGTTGGTGTTTGCTGAGTGGCAATACATTAGTTAATCAAATGACATCGGAGAAATAACTAGAATTCTTACTAGGAAAATGTGGTTCATCCTTCCCAGGACATTTTGATTAACTACACAGGCTGAGTATCTCTTATCCAACATGCTCAAAACCAGCAGTGCTTTGGATTTTGGAATATTTGCATATACATACTGAGATACCTTTAGGTTGGGATCCAAGGCTAAACATGAAATTCTTTAATGTTTCATGTATCGCTATCTATATAGTCTGAAGGTCGTTTTACACAATTAAAAAATAACTGGGTAAAGTAGAGTTGTGTGACGTAGAATTTCCCCTTGGGTGGTATCGTGTGGTTTCATGTCAATCCTGAAAAAGTTTTGGATTGGAGAATTCTGGATTTTGGATATTTGGATTAGGGAATGCTCAATCTGCAGATAAAACCCAACTCCTGTCACTAAGTAATGGCTTGGAAAGGCAAGGAAGGACCTTTTCTGCCCTCAGCTCTCTCTCTCTCTGTTTCTCTCTCTGTCTCTCTTTCTCTCTCTCTCTCTGTCTCTGTCTTTCTCTGTCTCTCTCTCTGCCTCTCTGTCTCTCTCTCCCTCTGAGATGTTGGCCTTGGTGGCCATGGTCTCTTCTGTAATCCAGAAATTACTTTCTAAACGCTGCTCACATTTTCTAAAATTGGTATTAACCCAGACCACAAAACTAAAATTAAAATAGAGTCAACTCAGAGAGAGGAAATTTTGGAGAACTTAAAATATTTCAAGAAGTGGAAATTGCTTTGACTAAAAAAAAAAAAATTCCCATTTTGTAACGACTGATTTCACAAAGCCCAGGACCCAAGCAGCGCATCTGGCCTGGGATGCAGTTTAATGTTGGTTAATTAGTGGTGCGGCCCGACGCCGAGCTCGGAGCCAAGCAGATGCCACTGGGCACTGGCTGGTTCTACTCTGCTCTTCCTCTCTTGCAGAGAGTGATGCAGCGGACATCGTCTTCCTCATCGACAGCTCTGATGGCGTCAGAAGTGATGGCCTTGCGCACATCCGAGACTTTGTGAGCAGGATTGTTCAAAGACTCAACATCGGGCCCAACAAAGTGAGAATCGGCCTTGTGCAGTTCAGCAATGAGGTCTTCCCCGAGTTTTTCCTGAAGACACACAGGTCCCAAGCTGCCGTGCTAGGAGCCATACGGCGCCTGAGGTTCCGGGGTGGCGCTCCGCTGAACACCGGCAGAGCTCTGGAGTATGTGGCCAAAAACCTCTTTGTTAAGTCTGCTGGGAGCCGGATAGAAGACGGGGTGCCCCAACACCTGGTCCTGCTTCTGGGCGGAAAATCCCAGGACGATATTTCTGGCTTCGCCCGGATCATCAGTTCCTCGGGGATCGTGAGTTTAGGAATTGGAAGCCGGAATGTGGACAGAACAGAGCTGCAGGCCATTGCCAATGACCCCAGGCTGGTCTTCACGGTGCGAGAGTTCAGAGAGCTCCCCAGCATAGAGGAGAGGGTCATAGGCTCGTTTGGATCCTCGGGGGCCACCCCAGCAACCCCAGTAGTCACCTCTCCTCCCTCAAGGCCAGGTATGAGCTATGTGGCCCCTGATTAAAGTGGGCTGTGAAACATTCACATTAGACATAACCAGCATTCTCTATAATAATTCCCTGCAGATAATGCTAGAAATTAAACATTGGGGAGACAGTTTAGTTGAAATTGTAGCAGGAAACATGTCCCCCAAAGCACCTGGCTGTTGACCTTCCACTGCTCTCAAGGTTAATTGTGGCCGGGCCAAAGACAGGGCTCCTCACACGGCTGGCTGTCGGAATAGGGTGGTGTCTTTGAGGCCAGCGGCCCATCCCCCACTGGACATGGCTCTGAAGTCTGAGCTTCCAGAGGCGATGGTCACGTGGCCCAGGCAGCCTTGCTTGGACCAAGGCGACACTCAGAGTCCTGACCTGCAGCAGGTCTTCCCTGTGGCCCTGGTTCTCACCTGTGGGACTGCCAGGAGCAAATCAGATGTCACCATCACCCACACCTTCCCTTGTCCCCTCCACTGGGCAGTGGCCGTGCAGACATCCAGAGCACAGGAGTAGGTTTTCCCAGGGAATCTGACTCCTGCTGTCCCTCTACTGCCTCTGTCCTGGCTGGCCGGGCACACCCCTGACCCTAGCACACCTGAGGCCACACACCACCGAGTCCCAGTCCTGACATGACATCACTGTCTCACTAAGATCCTGAGTGTCTTGTCCTTTTTATTTGGATAACTTACCCTTTATCTTCTTGTTTTTAGCATAATGTTGTTTGGGGCTGGCACTAGAGAGGCATGGGATGGAGTGAAGTTTTCCACTGTGAATGAATTATTAGGAAGGCTCTTGTTTTAATTTACGTACTGTGTGTTTATGCTCCGGGTGTGGCAGCCCCATCTCTCCTCATCTTCACTGTGACCCCTTGTAGAGAAGAAGAAAGCGGACATTGTGTTCCTGCTAGATGGCTCCATCAATTTCAGGAGGGACAATTTCCAAGAAGTGCTCCGCTTCGTGTCTGAAATCGTGGACACGGTTTATGAAGATGGCGACTCCATCCAGGTGGGGCTGGTCCAGTACAACTCTGACCCCACTGACGAATTCTTCCTGAAGGACTTTTCCTCCAAGAGGCAGATTATCGACGCCATCAACAAAGTGGTCTACAAAGGGGGGCGAAATGCCAACACCAGAGTGGGCATCCAGCACCTGCAGCTCCATCACTTCGTGCCCGAGGCGGGCAGCCGCCTGGACCAGAGGGTCCCCCAGATCGCCTTTGTGATCACTGGAGGGAAGTCGGTGGAGGACGCTCAGGATGCGAGCCTGGCACTTACCCAGAGAGGTGTCAAAGTGTTCGCGGTCGGGGTGAGGAACATCGACTCCGAGGAGGTGGGGAAGATGGCGTCCAACAGCGCCACGGCCTTCCGCGTGGGGAACGTCCAGGAGCTGTCGGAGTTGAGTGAGCAAGTTTTGGAGACTCTGCATGATGCAATGCATGAGATCCTGTGTCCTGGTGTGACCGACCTGTCCAAAGGTAACCAACCCTCTACCAGCCATTTCTGGTCCTCCCTGCAGACGTCTGTGAGGTTCAGCTACCTGCCTCCCCAGTGCTGGGCTTCAGATATCTTAAGCGTTAAGTTTTGATAGGCATTTCCTTATATTCACATGGGTTTCACAAGATTTACTTTCCAAATAACTTTGTTGTGTTTTTTTTTTTTTTTTTTGGTACTGGGGATTGAACTCGGGTCCTTGTGCTTTCAAAGCAGGCAGTGGAATCACTGAGCTAAATCCCCGGCCCTACTCCAAATAACTTTGATGTATTAACCCTTGTTTTTGATTATGGTTTTATTGAGTCAGTTTTTTGAGACTGAAACATTTGCTTTCTAAAATGCTTTTAATTCAAAGCACAAACTTTAGATATATTGAAACACCAACTGTATATTATCATCCCCAAATTGATGAACACCTCCATAAGAGCAAACTTTTGAGATGTGATCAAAATATCTGATGAATGTTTAAATTAAAAATGTTTTAGTACAGTAAAAGATACATTGCCATTAATCAACTCCAAAATCCTCCCACTTGATTCCAACACAGTATTCCATTGTTCTTGCCACTTTCTGAAGCAGTTCTGGAGTCCTATTTCGTGTCTTTCTGTGGTGTGATTAAAAAACAGTGGTGAACGCTGCTGCTGAGTGCCATCCGACAGGAAGGCAGTCTTGTAAAAACAGGACAGCATGTTATTCACCCAATGGCACCCTGTGACTTCTGACTCTTCCCCAAGCTCAAAGTGACCATGAAAGGTCAACATTTTCAATTGATTCGGGACATGGAGGCAGCCAGGACAGCACAACTAAAGACTGGAGAGAGGACTCCAGAGTTGCTTCAGAAAGTGGCAAGAAGGATGGGATAAGTGTGTTTGAAGCAAGGGGAAGGATTTTGAGGGAGATTATGGCAATGTACCATTTACTATAATTTTTTGAAAAATTTAACCATTCGCTGTACATTTTGATCACACCTTGTGCATTGAAATAGCCTGCAAGTTTGGTTCCCAGCAATTGCTCATGTTTTTCCCCGTGAGAAAGTCCTGGCCACCACGAAGAGCTTACACAGAAGGGTCTCATCTGGGTCCTGAGCACAGTGTCCTGGTCCACATCCGGCTGTACCTGGCACTGTGGGCATAGAACTCCTCCCTGTGGCCTCACCTTGGTGCCCTGGCCTGCATTTCTCCTTTCCAGCCTGCAATCTGGACGTGATCCTGGGGTTCGATGGGTCCAGAGATCAGAATGTATTTGTGGCCCAGAAGGGCTTTGAGTCCAAGGTGGATGCCATCCTGAGCAGAATCAGCCAGATGCAGAGGATCAGCTGCGGCGGTGGCCAGCTGCCTACTGTGCGTGTGTCGGTGGTGGCCAATGCACCCTCTGGCCCCGTGGAGGCCTTTGACTTTGATGAGTACCAGCCGGAGCAGTTTGAAAAATTCCGCAACATGCGCAGCCAGCACCCCTATGTCCTCACGGCTGACACGCTGAAAGTATACCAGAATAAGTTCAGGCAGTCCTCGCCGGACAGCGTGAAGGTGAGCGGCCCTGTGCGCCCTTGTGTAGGGTCTGGAGTTTCGCTGGGTGGCAGCCTGTCCCTGGAGTCTGGGAGCCCTGCCCGAGTCCTTTCTGTAGACATGCATGCAGGCAGGACCAGAGTCAGTGTCCACGCGGAAGTGCTCGCTTACTAGCTGATGGCAATTTCATGCACCAGGTATTCATCTTGCTAGCTTTGCTTGAGTTCTAAGACACATCCTGGACATTAGTGACGAAGCTTGAATGTGTCGATTTAGGATGAACTCAGGTTCAATGACAGGTCTGCCACTAGATAAGCTTTAATCTCTGTGTTTCTGTCTCTCGACCTCTGTGTGTATGTGTGTGTGTGTGTGTGCGTGTATGTACGCACACACATACTATGTGCACACACTGTATCAGCTTGCTAGAGCCGCCATGCATAACAGAATCAGATGGGGGCTTAAGGCTTATATGTCCTCACAGTGCTGAGGCTGGAGATCTGACATCATGTCGTGGGCAGAGCTGTTCCCTCTAGACCTGTCTCCTTGGCTTATACGTGGCTGTCCTTCCCCTGTGTCCTCGCGTGGTCCTCCCTGTGTGTGTTTTCTCTTGTCCTCTTCTCATAAAGATGTCTGTCATCCTGGATGCAGAGCCACCAGGGACCTCATTTACCTTAACTGTCTCTTTAAAGGCCTCATCTCCACCCAGAGGTTCTGGGGTGAGGACTTGGTTTGCGGGGCATGGTCACAGTGCAGGGCAGACATACCACATGTGATTTCTAGAAACCACATCTCATAAATAGGAGAATGAGATTCACTGTTTTATTGTCATTGTTGCTTGTGGTTTCTCTAAAATAAATCAAACCCTAAAACACACCCATTGATTTTATGCCTCATCGATTGCACAATAGCTTTGACCGTGGCCTTTGGTTTCTCAGCTTAGAAGGAGGAGTTTGAACTCCAAAAACCTCTTGGTTCCTCTTTGCCATCTGTGCTCCTCTCTTCCAGTCTGGGCTGACACTTCAGCCGCTTTGGTTTGCAGGTGGTCATTCATTTTACTGATGGCGTGGATGGAGACCTGGCCGATTTACACAGAGCCTCAGAGGAGCTCCGAGAGGAAGGTAGGCTCTGGGTTCCCGGGTATGGGAGCCAGCCCAGGGGAGGGGGCCGCTCTGTAGAGACCTCTCTGCTTCGGAGTTCTGGGCGGGTGCAGCTTCTGCTGAAGGGCACTGAGCCAGCTCCTTGGCCCTTTGTGCCTGCCTGGGGCTCTGGGGTGCTGAGGAGGATCCCTTAGGAACATGGACAGCTTTACCCTGAGCCCTGGCATGGGCATGTGGGTTCAAAGACCCAATCAGGTGCTGGGACTTGGAGAATGCATGATGCTTGTCCCAGTCACTTTTCTTGCTTTTGGGACAAAATACCTGATACCTGCAACTAGAAGGAAGAAAGGTTTGTTTTGACTCAGTTTGCTGAGGTTTCAGTCCATCGTTGGTTGGTTCCAAAGCAGGGTGGCATGGGAGAGACTCCTGGTAAAGAAGAGCTGAGGAGTTTCTCACGTCATGGTGTCCAGAAAGCAGACATAAAAGAGTGCGGAGGGAAGATAGACGCTTCAGGCCACGGCCCCAGTGACTGCCTTCTCCCACCAGGCTCTACCTCCCCGCATTGCGTTTAACTATACACTCATCAGCGGACTAACCCAACCCATGAGCATCACAGCCCCGTGATCCAATCGAATCCCCAAAGCCCCACTTTGCACCTGAGGTGTTGGGTCTAGATAGAAACTATAGTAATGTCCTTGCAAAAGAATCCAGCACTGATTCATTTAGCTCCATCGTATAAACTAGAAACTAATGTGTTAGCAGAAGCGACTACTGTATTTTCAGTTTGCAGTTGTCATAGCTCAAAACGCTACAACGTTTAAATTACAATACATGTAAATAATATAAATAAGCAAACCAACCAAACGTAAGGTGACTTGAGATGTCTGTTAGTAGATGCTCATGTGTTTTGGAATTTGGAAGCACCAACTATCAGAGAATGGATGCCAACAGCAGACCCTTAAGAAGAACTCATAGAAGCACAATTTATCACGAGAACATCCTAGTTAGTAGCTAATTTTCCCATGCTTTGGAGGTGTGATTGTGCTCCCCTGATTTTGGAGGAGTTAGTGTTTCAGTCCTTCCCGCAAGCACCCATGCAAGGTGGGGCCAGAGTCCAAGAACTGAGTCTGAATACATTTCATGGGGGCCACTTCCTGGGCTCATAATAATACATTTAGAGGCACACGGAACGTAACTGCCCAGAGGAGTCCAAGGTTTCAGCACTTCTACTCTTCCAGGCAGTTCAGTAGTTTGATTACATGGTTTAAGTTAAAGCCAAATTTTATGATGAATGTTCTTTAAAAAAGTCAGGAGAAAAGGTGTCAGCGCGCTGGAGCACGCAGGCGAGCCGCATGAAGTGTGTCTTTCTCCACAGGTGTCCATGCCCTGATCCTGGTGGGCCTGGAACAGGTGGCCAACCTGGAGCAGCTGGCGCATCTGGAGTTCGGGCGGGGCTTCATGTACGACAGGCCTCTACGGCTCAACCTGCTGGACCTGGATTATGAGCTGGCCGAGCAGCTGGTGTGTGTTGCTTTACACAAACTAAATCCCTGATGGTGACATTGGCGTGGAGGCAGTGAAGTCATCCCGACCTGGCCAATGGGCAGGGTGCTGGGTTTCTGTGTAACGCTTGAATTCTGTTGGGATCTGCCTTCCTGGCCCGGCAGGGGTGAACCTGGAAGTGAAGCTAGGTGTGTAGGCACGCTGGTGGTGCAGCCTTAGATTTTCCTCTGTTCCCAGTAGCAGCGACCTTTTCGATGTCTTTTCATTCCTAAGATTGCTGGGGATGCAAGACCTTGTGACAGGCCATCCCCAGGCAGGAAACTGTCTGCAGTGTCTGAAAGTTTACACCACGAGTGCAGGAGTGTAGGAAAGAGAAAGACTAAGCACTTGTGGTGGAGAAGTGCTCCTACCGTTTCCTTTCTAGTTTGCTTTGGCAAACGTGGTGGAGCCCTTCAGGCCTTCCCAAGCCCCTTCGTTTGGTAGGAGGAGTTCCTCCTGGGCCTGGGAGCGGGGATGGAGACCAGGCTGGGCGTGAACATGGAGGTTTTGGGTGCAGGCAATGGCAGAGTGTGGCTACATCAACCAGATGGACCCAGTGCTCCATCCCTTCCCTCCACCTCCTTCCAGGGCTAGAACTAGGGTTTTCTCATTGGACAGGAGGAGGTTGATTCAGTTGATCAGTCTGGGACTCGGGAGAAATCAAGAGCTCCAGGAAGCTCATTGCTAGAAAACACAAGTGAGGCCATTAGTGCAGCAGAAGCAGTGCATTGGGGTTGCGTTTTGCCTTGTAAGGGTGGGAGGGGAGTCGAGGGCCTCTGGTTTGCATCACAGGTGACCCTGAGCTGTGCTGGTGGCTCAGAGGCCAGGCCACCTGTGCTGCTCTTCGCTGGGGCTGCTCTGGGGCCTCCCCCGGGTTGGGGCCACTTCCGTGCCTCCGAGCCCAGCTCTGAGGGAGGCTTGCATGGAGCTCTGTCTCAGAAAGGTCTGGGGTCCTGGCCAGCTGCAACTTGTTTGTTAGGTTTTGTGACTGGAGTTCAGACACATGGAAGTTACATTTACCACTTGAAACCTGAATGCCTATGTCGGAAACTTCTCCAAAGAAGGCCTAGCTGAAGGGGATGTGGCGAATAAGGGTTTTGGGGCTTCGGTTCCTATTTTCTTTCCCATTGGTGACTTCCACGTCCTCGCTGACCGCCAAGAGCTGACCCTCAGCCTGGGCTGGCCTTTGGGAGCTGCCATCCCAGTGACTTCCCTCACCTCGTGGAGCCTGAGTGTGGCAGACGGTGACCTCCAGCAGCATGTGGATGGTCTTGGTAGGCGATTCTTGAGCTTTGAACTTGTTCCTTCTTTCCATCCCGGTAGGACAACATTGCCGAGAAAGCCTGCTGTGGGGTTCCCTGCAAATGCTCCGGAGAAAGGGGAGACCGTGGGCCCATTGGCAGCATCGGGCCAAAGGTACGGTGCCGTGGGCCCTCTTCTCCGACCTGAGGTTAGATTCAAGGGCGACCTTACTCTGACCAGGTCCTTCTCCAACTTTGGAGCTCGGAGGTGGGCAGGGGGAAGGACCCTTGCCACCTGCAGAACAGGAGGTCCCAGGTGTTGCCCAGATCACGTCCCCTGGACGAGCTCGCCCCCCAGACACGGCAGGAAGTTCCAAGTGTCCGTCACAGTCCCCCTTTCCATGGGATGGAGGTGTGCTCTTTAGCACATGGCCTCTTCATTTGGTAAAATCACGTTGGAACCTGGGGCCTCACTGCTGGCGGCCTCACTGGTCAGCTGGGCCCTCAGGGTTTGCCTCTGAGTGGGGAAGCAGCAGGCTTTCCGGGCAAAGCAGGAGCCCGAGAGCCCCCATCTCAAGAGCGATCACACTGGAGAGGGAGTGGGACACGGGCCCAAAGGTGGTGCTCACTGTCAGCTCGGCTCTGCCAAGCTGGGGCCTCCGCGCAGAGCAGGGTGACCACGGGGTCTCACCAGGGCCCTGTGTGCTCTGTTTCAGGGCATGGCGGGGGAAGACGGCTACCGAGGCTACCCTGGCGATGAGGGCGGACCTGTAAGTACACCTGCGCATTCCGGAAGCTCTGTTCCAGTCCCCTTTTCCTACACCCGGACGGGCGGCGGAGCCCTGGTTGGCGGCTTTCCCTTTGGGGGAAAACTTAACTTCTAACTTCCTTAGCAACTTTCCTTAGATGGCGACACTTTGGAGAACAGGACAATCTGAGGGTGACGGCGTGGGTGGAAGGGTGCTCTCCTAGTCCCTAGGGAGGCGCTGAGTGAGACAGAGGCCACCCAGGGCCTCCTGTCCTCCACTGAGTTCAGCTCCTCCAATATGTGGGTCACCTGCACTGGGGAGGTCTCCCCGAGGGCCCAGCAGCAGGGCTTTTGGGAGCAGGGCCTGGACATCCATGGGTCCGAGAGGCTTCCAGACCGTAGAACAGAGTCCAGCCTTGGAATGGGACGCAGATATCCTGGGGAGCCCCTGAGATCTCCAGACCCAGCCAGGTTGTAGCCTCAGGGCTGGGCCTGGAGCCAGGGCACACAGAGCAGCTGATGGGCCCGGTGAGGCCTGGAGCCCCACACCGGGCACCCGGGACCGCCCATCCTAGGGGACCCTCTGGAGCCCCTGTCCCTGAGGGCCGGGCCCCGAGGCTCTTGGCTCACACTTAGAGAACTCCAGCTGCAACTGCCTCTGTTTCCCACAGGGCGAGCGAGGTCCGCCTGGTGTGAACGGCACTCAGGGCTTCCAGGGCTGCCCAGGCCAGAGAGGAGTGAAGGTACAGTGCAGGCAGGGTGGTGGTGGGCTCCTGCTGGGCCGTGGGGCATGGAGAAATGGTGCCCTGGAGGCTGGGCCCTGGGAGGAGGAAAGGGGAGCGATGGCATCCTCGGGTTCGGGGCTGATGGACTTTCTCCTTCGCTTGCTGAGTTAGAGCAGGGCTGAAGGGAAGGGCCACCACCCCGAGAGGTGGCAGAGTTGGCCTTCACCTTGAGCCCTTTGCCTGCCTTTGGGGGTCACTCCTGCTATCCAGCGAGCAGGATACTTCCCAAGTGTTCAGTTCCAGGCAAATCAATTCATGATATCCGGTGCTGATCATGGTGACAGAGGAAGCCAAAGAAATGAGTCTTGGGAAATGAAATTTTAGACTGCCAGGGCATTTGGATGGGGCAGCCCTTGGCTTCTGCCTCGAGGGACCAGCTGCGCAGGAAGAACTAATACCCCCTGTCCCCTTTCTTGCAGGGCTCTCGAGGATTCCCGGGAGAGAAGGTATTCAGGCTCGGTTTTGTTTCCTAAGTTGAACATTTCCCCAGCATTTCCATTTTTTCCCTTTGCCAGAGGGCTCTGCGCTTCACTCACCTGTCTGCCTTCTTCCCTCTCAGGGTGAACTCGGAGAAATTGGGCTGGACGGTCTGGATGGTGAGGATGTGAGTGGTTTTGCTTTCTCTGTCTAAACCACTTCTGCTCCCAGAGACAGCAGCTGGCGGCTCGGTGTAAGGCAGCAGAAGCTGTGTAAGGAGTGACCGTTTCCTGTTGTCTTTGGCAGGGAGACAAGGGGCTGCCCGGTTCTTCTGGAGAGAAGGGGAGCCCTGGGCGAAGGGTAGGTGGCCTTGTTTCCTCTGCACAAGTGCGTTCCAATGCCCCACAGGGGCCCCTGTGACACCCCCGGGTCCCTGCCCACTCGGAACGGTGTCATTGTCTTTTCTGATGTCCCACAGGGCAGGGACTGAGTTTGTTTTGTTCTAAATAAATCCCCAGTGTCTGGCGACACACAGTGGATCCCCAGTAAATATTTGTGAGTTAACTGAGCAAATTGTAAGTGCACGATTTTGGCTCCGTGGCACGGGAGCGAATGATCAGTTTCATTCTGTTTAAGACTGGAGAATCCGAGGGTGATTTTTAAGGCAAGACAACAATTTGATGACTGAGCCTAGAGATCTAACACAGGCCTAGAGTTGATAACATGATGTTGGATGGGACCCAGGTCAGACAAATGACTCTCGGCTGCTCTTGTCATGAAAAACACAGCATGACTAGCATTCACCGTGGCAACCATTTTGCTGTCTGTACGTGTCCGCGTTCCGTAGCACGGTGCGAACCTCGAATACCCACGGTAAAGGCACATCTAGCCCTCAGTTCCATGCGCGTGTCTTATTTAGGGTGACAAAGGACCTAAAGGAGCCAAGGGGGAGAGAGGAGACGTCGGCATCCGAGGTGACCCGGTAAGGCGCGTGTCCTCCGTGGGGACCAGACCGAGCTCGGGAGGAAGCTGTGGGAACCCAAGACTAAAGCAAGCCTCTTGCCCTGGAGGTGCTTTAAATCGTGCTGACAAAATGCATGCCGTGTCCTCTCACAATTTCGGGATGCCCGCGGTGAGCTGGTTCTTTGGCTCCGAAGGCCAGCACTGTAGGTCGAGGGACAGAAAGACCTGAGTCTTTCCCTACCAGCGGTCTAAGCCTTCCCGTTGCAGCTTTGCTCCTCTTAAATGATGCTGTAAAAGCTGGCTATGGTGACCCACTCCGGACACTGAGGCAGGAGGATCGCCACGAGTTTGAGGCCAGCCTGAACTACACAAGGAGACCCTGTCTCAAAGATTAATTAATTCATCAGTGACTCCTTAAACCCATTAAGAAAATGACCATCACCGCCTCTCTCCAGCCCCGGTGTTGGGGGAAGCCAGGGCGAGCCTGGGTGTCCTCCTCTCCAGACGTCAGGGTTTGAGGACCCCAGGGCTGGGCCCCTCAGCACCGGCTGGGCGTGGTCTGTGTGGGGCGTGGCTGAAGGACCTGCTCCTCCAGAGCCTGGCGCTCCCCGCGTCACTCTTGCGGGCTCCCCATCCGGTGGCAGCAGTGTTCCTGCCGCATGCGGCTCCTTCCCTGGTGTGTTGTTTTCAGGGTGACTCGGGACAGGACAGCCAGCAGAGGGGACCCAAAGGAGAGACGGGAGACATCGGCCCCATGGTACGGTGCTCGTGGTCACAGATGCCCCTGAGCTCAGGGTCAGGAAGCGCGTGCTGGCCCCGCAGCCAAGCGGCCTGAGACTCAGGGTCCCGGGAGGTGGCCAGGCGGTGCCCGGGAGCGGGTGGAGCCCGGGCCCCGCACACAGAAAGTGCTGGTTCAACCAAGGCTCCTGGAGGTGCCCTGCCGCAGGGCCTTCCCGTGGGAATCAGCCCTCTCCCTGCAGCGCCTCAGGCTGGTTTTCCTGCCCTGCAGGGTCTCCCGGGGAGAGATGGCGTGGCCGGAAGTCCGGGGGAAACCGGGAAGGACGTGAGTACTCTGGGTCGTGCTTGTGTGGGATCCTCATCAGGCCCTGGTGCCTGGCAGATTCCCCTGCGCCGCGCGGTTCCTCTGCCTTGGTCTATTCTATGCTGCTCTGAAGAAATCCTGAGTCACTCACGACGAAGTTTCCTCTTGGCCTCTGTGCCCCTGGGGGTGGAACCCAGGCCCTGGCACCCAGGCAAGCACTCTGTCACCAAGCTGTAGCCCCAGCCCCATGTGGCTCACGTTCCGGAAGCTGGGTGGTCCCTGAGCCCATTGCTGGCACCACCGAGGGCCCTGGAGCTTTGTCACCCCAGGGCGGACGGCAAAGGGCGGGATTTGGACCTGAACTTTGCTGCCTATAGAAATTTTTCATTCTTCTAATTTCCTCTGTGTTCTATCTGGTCCCCTCCCAATCTTATATCCTCTCCCACAAAAGCATACCAAACAGAGACTTTGGAAAATATCTTCGCTGCTTTCAAATATTTGGCCAAGTTTTACCCCACTAAATATTTTAAAGATTCAAGCAGAAATGCTAGAGCTGGGGGTTGGTGGGTGAGGGGCAGGAGGGCGAAAGGCCTGTGTTTGCTGTTTTAATAGTAGTCTGGCTTTCTGTGTGACTGTCACTCGTACAAGGAGGCCAGGCGCGGTCTGTCCCACTGCATCTGCTTCTTACTGGATCTTGGCTGGAAGGCTGAGATTCGATTGCAGTGTCTGGAATGCGTGTGGCCCGTGCGGCACACGGAGGGATCATCAGGGCTTCTGGCCGGAGTGGTGGGATGGCTGGCATGAGGCCTCCTGAAAGCTTGCAGGGCCTTGTCGCTGGCCGTGGAGGTCCTGCAGCTGGCAGGTTGGAGCCCCAGGGGGAGCTCAGGAGGCTGGGGGTGCAGGGCAGGTCTGGCTCAGAGAATGGAACACAAAGGCTGCACATGGGCTGGGTCGCTGAGAACCCGCCCAGCCCCAGTGATTTTCTGAAGGACGAGGATACATCCAGGCCCCTGAGGTTGAGGATCAGAGGAGTTAGGAGGCCAGGGGCTCACCAGGGGTGACTCTCTGGGAGGGGGCTGTGCTGTGCCCTCAAATTCATAAGCAAACCAGAAAGGTTTGCACATTGTTGCTGAATGGTCCCACGGAGCCCCGCAGTGGAAGAGAAACAAGGAAATGATCATCGTGTTTGCCCAGAGCCCAGCCAGACCCTAGCTGCACACAGTGACTGCAGAGCAGTGGTGGGGCAGCTGATTTCAGTCCCACACTTGAGGTGGGAGCAAGTTTGAATTTGATTGCAGGCGAGGGCTCTCGTAGCCTGCATTCAGGGGTTCATTAAGCGGAGAAATGAGCGCAGAGCAGTTATGCAGTGGGCTGAGGAGCAGCTGAGGGGTCCCCTGTCCTTTCCCTGGGGACCTCACTGTGCTGGTCTTGGGCCGGGATGAATGGTGTCCCCTGTCCCCCGTGACATCACCCTTTGAGCCTCTGCAGGCAGCCTCGCTGGGGCCTCTGATCACATGCTAGCGTGTCGTCTTGGGGGGCCAGTCCCAATGTCACTGTGCAGGAGAGGACCCCTGCAGGACAGCAGCCCCTCAGCTTTCGCAGACGGTGTAGAACATTCAGGGGCTCCCACCCCAGACTTCTGCACCCCGGGGATGACTTGAGGTGGGAAGTCATGGGCCACTTGCTAGGGAGCCCACACGTGGGAGCTGAGGTCACCTCTGGAGCTTTGGGGAACCGCATGCCAAGTCAGGAGCCAGAGCTAGGCACACGGACGCTGAGGTTTGCACCTGTGCTTTTTGGATGCTCAGCTCGAGGGAGCGTGTGCTGTGCTTGGCCAGGGTGGTTGGGAGGGTTTGGGACTCCTTTCCACCCTCGTGAAGGGTTCGTCCTCTCCCTACCATCAGGGACATGGAAGGAAAGTGGGCAGGTCGGCATTTGGGCTCACATTCCTCATTCACTCTTGGCTGGGATTGTGCAGCCAGAAGTCATTATTTTGCTTGGCGGGTCTGGAGCACTTCTCAAAACTTCCATTTGGGTTGTCAGCAGGAGCAGCATGGAGGCAAAACTTCTCCGAGTTGAGGGCTGAAGAAGAGCATTTGCTGGCCTAGTCACTGGTTTCTGGCAGTAGATGGTGCCAGGGGCGGAGTGGGGGGGTGTCTCTGAGTAAGTCTCAGGGGCCGGGCTGTGTGCAAGCCTCCCTGCGTCCCCCTTATGGTTTGTGATTTCTCCTTCCACAGGGCGGCTTTGGCCGAAGGGGACCCGCGGGAGCTAAGGTGAGCGCCCCGGCTGGCTGGAGCATCTGGGGTCACGCAGGAGGCTGCTAGGTGCAGTCCAGCCAGGACAGGGATACCATTCCCAGGCCTCACAGCTTGGGTCAACAGCCCTGACTTAGCCCCTTCTGCAGGGCCTTGAGAAATGACGCCCTGGGGCAGAAGGAAGGGAGGTGACGGGCAGGTGGTGTCCGGGTGTCTTTCCTCTGTGTGTGGGTGTCTTTCCTCTGTGTGGTGCCCGCTAGCGGGGCCTCTGGCCAGGATAGGATGGGTGTGGGTGGGCCGTTGCCTTTCCCAGAGCTGTGCAGAGGCGTAGGGAGGCGCAGTGAGCTTCAGCTGCCCGTGGCTCCACCTGGGACCCTGGAAAGCTGTGTTTCTGACTGTGGGACGGAGGGGAGCCTGCACCTAAGCATCCTCACTCCTCCTGCGTCTTCTCTCGTCTCCAAGGGCAACAGAGGCGGTGCTGGCCAGGTGGGCTTCCCGGGAGAGCAGGGGACCAGAGGTGCACAGGTCAGTACCCCTGTGCCACTGGGGCCTTGGGACACTTTCCCAGATTTCCTGGAAGTGTTTTCTTAATTGGGCGATGTTCACAACATAAAATTAGCCATTTTAACCTGAGTGGTTTGGTGTGCGTGGCACACTCACAGTGCTACTCAGTAATTCAAAAACACTTTTATTAGCTGCTTAGGTGACACTGACCCATTACACAGTGGTCCCTACTGTCCTTGTCCCAAGACCCTGGTCACCACTCACTTTTCTGTCTTGATGGATTTGCCTATTCTGGGTATCTTATCTAAATTAATCATTAATAGGTGGCTGTTTGTGTTTAACTGCCTTTGCCTAGGATAATACTTTTGAGGCTCAGCCACATTGCAGCTTAAATCAGAATTTCATTCCTCTTGTTGGTTGCATAATATTCCGCCGTGTGGATACAGCACTGTTTATCCACTCACTGGTTGCTGGGCTTCGGGGTCATTTCCCCCTGTTGGTCCCTGAGAAGAGATGTCACTCGGGGGCGCCTCATAAGAAGCAGCTCCACGGCACTTACCACCGACCTTTCACTCTGCAGGGTCCCCCCGGCCCCATCGGACCTCCGGGCCAGGTTGGGGAGCAAGGCATCCCTGGACCCCGGGTAAGTCCCCTCACCTGACCCCTTAGCTGAGCTCGCAGCACGGAGCCCAGCAGGTGGAGACTTCCAGGGTGACCTGCCCCTCAGTCCCACCCTCTGGCAACTCAGGCCTCCCACAGACCCCAAGGTAGTGAGGGCCCCATTTCTTGCGCTCCAATGGCTTCTAGGTCCCCAAAGTAACCTCTGCCCCAGGTGTCAGCAAAGGCAGTGTGAGCCCCATCCCAGAAGCCATAGGAGAGGCCTGTCCAGCATCTAACTACACCTACCAAACCTCAGAGATTGTGTCTCCTAGCATGTTTCAGAGCTGAATGAGGACCCGCAAGCTGGCAGCCTGCTGGTCTGTTGGTACAAATACACCACAGCGGGCACGGGCTTTACAAAGGTGTGGTTTGCTTAGAAAGTCCTTCTCCAGCTGGACAGCTGGTGATAACTACCGCTAAAGTTTCTGCGGTTTTTTTTTTACATTCAACTTTTAGTTAACTAGGCATTTAAGGTGACTTGTGTGCAAAGCTGCTCAAGTAGTTACTCCAGTGCCCCAGGATATTAATTGATAGGTGCTTTGCCACCATCTGCTTTAGGGACCTTTCTGGGCTGTGTGGGCAGAGCCCCTTTGGACAGTGATGTATTCATCCCCCAGTAGGCATTTCTGGACCTGGACACATCTGCTGTTCACTCGGGGGTGTGGAACGGTAGGGGAAACAAAGTCACACGAAGCCAGGAATGTGTCATCTAGCAGGGAACCAGCATGTGTCCCTTAGCTGCAGCATGAGTGTGTGCAAATTGGCCCTGCGAGGTGATGCTAACATTTTAAGTCTGAAGAGACATTTCCAGTGCATTTATGTTGGAGTCTACAGCACTGGGCACTGTGCCCTCGGGAGGCTCTGGCCTCCGTGCAGGGCTGAGCTGGGGGCATCCAGAGGCCCTTTGGCTCGGGCAGATGAGCACTCAGTGACCCACTCCTCTCCTGTGCTGCAGGGAGCTGGAGGAACAGCTGGGGCTCCCGGAGAACGCGGCAGAACAGGGCCCTTCGGAAGGAAGGTTTGTCTGGACAGGGGAGGAGCTCTTCCGAGGACGGGACCCTTCCGTATCGTTTGTCATTCTGTCCATTAACTTAGTCTGCATCTCCCGTCTCCGAGCTGCTGGTCGTTCCTGCTCCAGCCTCCCAGGGACAGCACCCTGCCAGGGAGTGGTGCTGGGCTGGTCTCTCCTTTCAGACCTGCTGCCTGGTGGGTTACCGGGTAGCTCTTGCCGTGGTGCGGCCAGCACACAGGGCTGTGTCCTCGGAGTGTAGAGCAGCCTGGCAGCACCTCATGCACTGCAGTGTCACAGGGACCACACAGTCTTTAAATCTGGGCACTGCACATGGCAGCTCTGCAGATGGGAGCTGGGTCAGCTCACAGACCCGCACTCCGCTGCTGGGGACAGCAGCGAGCCTGGGATGGGCAGCCGAGAGCCTGCTGTCTTCAGCCTTACCATTCACTACCAGTCTGAAAAGACAGCAGATACATGTGTCTGTGTGACCCCAGCCGGTCTCCCAGCCTCGGGGTGCTGGGTTCCACCTTTCCGGCTGCTTCTCCCTCAGTCCCTGTCTCTTCCCCGGCAGCCTGTCCCTGGGCCTAGGCATGAATGTTGTACTTAAAAACTATGCGTGTGTATTCGTTCAAATCCACACATGACAACTGTGTTTGTGAGACCTGGTGTGGAGAACTAGTGCGGGCACATCATGCATAACTCTCGGGCCAGGGTGGTTAGCGTTTCTTTGTGCTGGGAGCCTGTGCACGCTTCTCCTGGAGTTAGTCGGAGACGTAGAATGAGCTGCTGTAAACTGCACCACCGTGTGCCATGCTGCTGAACACCAGCGCACTAGCCGCTTCTTTCTGCGAGTTTCGGTCCCCACCACCCATCCCTCTTCTTCCCACACCCACCCTTCCCGGCCTCTGCGACTGCCATCCACTCCCTGCTTCCCCGACAGCCATTCCCTTAGCTTGCACAGGGCAGCAGCAACGCTCGGTCTTTGCACTCTGTGCCTGGCTTATTTCAATTGAGCAAGATCCTTCCTTCATCCAATCTGGCGTGGTGAAGTGTGTGCCCAGCAGCCCTCGGGGCCTGCTCTGCAGCAGCATCGGGGCCTGGGCTCATGGTCTCCCCTTGTTTCTTGTGTCTAGGGTGAGCCTGGAGAGCCAGGACCCAAGGGAGGACTGGGGAACCGTGGCACTCTCGGGGAGACGGTAAGGTGCCAGCGCCCGCCCAGAGACTGTGCAGAAAGGGGCAGGAAGAGGCAGGTGCTTGAGGGATGCTTCTTGTGGTATCAGGGACAGGTGGAAAGGAGTGGCACCTGCTCCTACAGTGCCTCCCGAATGAGCCCTACTGCGTAGGTGGGGATGCAGGGGAGACTGTTTCCTTTTAGGACCTGCACTTGATTCCAGGGAGCTTTGCTACAAGGAAGTAAATGTCCTGGACTTAAGACTGAATTGGGGATTTTATTTTATTTTATTTTGTTTTTTTGAGACAGGGTCTAGCTATGTAGCTCAGGCTGGCCTGGAACTCATGGCGACCCTCCTGTCTCAGCCTCCTGAGTGACAGATTACAGGAGTGTGCCATTAGGCCTGGCTGGAATTGGGTTAGATGAGGTCTCAGTCCAGATGGAAACAACTTCGTTTGAATGAGACATCCTAAGGGTAGAGAGTATTACTCCAATAACTCATTTTTGAAAATGCTGTTTAAAAACACTCCGAATACTCACAATAATTTTGTAAAATACGTTTCTATATAAGAAAAAGCAACCTACAGGCCACTGGGAATTCTTCTAAAATGAGTCCCTATCCCACGACAACTCCCTAATTGGGACTCTTCCTCAAACTTTAAAGTATTTTCTCTTTTCTTGTATTCAGCTACAGGAAATTTTAAAAAATTGATTTGCATTAGAGAGGAAGAGGCTCAGGGAGAGGGGAGAAAGCCCCATGCCCAGGCCACTCCAGAGGGTAGGAGGGGTTGGACTCTGTCGGTGTTCTTGGGTAGACTCACGGACGTTAGAGTTGAGGAGGCCTACAAGATTCCTTCCAACTCTCAGGTCCCCAGGTTCGATGCGATTTTTATTCTGCATCCAGCAGCGTCTTTACATTTGCAGTTCTTTAGACTGCTGTGGCTCTTGTAGAACACATATGGTTCTTCGTATGTGCAGCCCCCAGCCAAGCTGCTGAAGGCATTGTTTGCACCCCCACCTGCAGACACAGCCCTGTCTACCTACGGGGGACGGGGTGGCTGGGAGATGCTCTGGTCCCTGGGTCTCGCTTGGACCATTTCTGGGACTCGAGGGCTGTCTGCTCCGGACAGCAGTGGGGCAGGCATTGAGGCGGAGGTGCGTGCACACGGTGACCACGGTCTTGTTCTCATCCCTCTCTTAGGGAGATGACGGGCGAGATGGAGTAGGCAGCGAAGGTCACAGAGGCAAAAAAGTACGTAGCGGCCCAGACTCTCCTGTTGCCAGGTGGCTCCCAAGACATCTTCTATGTCTCTCATTTTTCGAGAATGATTTCTTTAAATATTATTATATTTTAGGGATAGTGTTGATAATTCTATGGAGGTTGTTTCTTTGTAAGTCATTTTATTTTAGATGATTTTAAGTTGGCACCCAAACTGTGTCATTTGTATCTATCTTTTACAGGGAGAAAGAGGATTCCCGGGCTACCCAGGACCGAAGGTAAACATTCCCGGGGCGGTGGAGCATCACCACGTGTTTGGAGAGCTTGCTGGGCCTGTAACTGGACATTAGGTGTCTTTTCTCTGGGCCAATGGAGACCCCCCTTTTCAGAGGCTCCCTCTGTCAGACGGAGGTGACAGTCCTCACCTGTCAGGATGCTCATGAGGTTTAAATGGGGCAAAGCTACAAAAAAATAAAAGACCTTTGCAAGCTGTAAAATGCTGCCGTGTATGCGGCACTGACATTGATTAAATAAATGCCAGCCATAGGCAAATTGCTCCCCTGCACTGGCAACCTGGAGCAGCAACTCTGGGGACCTCCAGCTTCCCTGGCTGACGCCCACTGGGGCCCTGGCGAGGCCTCCCCTGGACCTTCTATTTGGAGTTCATCTGCCACCCCTTGGCTGTCTTTGCAGGGTATGCCTGGTGAGCCTGGAATGGACGGAGCACCGGGACCCAAAGGCGTCAGAGGGCGAAGGGTAAGGCCACCTGTGTGTGACGGCAGGTTGGGTAGGGATGACTGCCGAGCCCTGGGCGAAGAGCTGCCTTCACCTCTGGGCCAGTGACACACAGCCTAAGGGAAGGGTCCCGAGGCTTAGACGGGGTCCTCACAGTCTGCTGTGTCACGGACTGCAGTCTCTTCCTTCAGCCACACCACCTTGTGGGTCCCCAGAGCCCCTTCCAGTCTGACCCAGGAGTCACTAGTCCACGCATCACCCCACACGGCACAGGGGCACTCAGGCCTCAGCCCAGCTGCTGCTGGGAACCTGTGCCATCTGCTGGCTGATCCACCTGGACAGAGGGGCGAGGACTTCACGGGGTGTCAGGGGACAGGATGGCCATGAGCACTGGCATATGAGACTCCTCTTCCTTAGCTGCCTTTCCTTCTGGATTTCTCTTTGTAGTTCACTAGCAATCCCAAGGTTACCCTGACTCTTGATTAGCATATTGTGGTGTAGATAGAGGTAAATGAGGCTAACACCTATTTAAAGCTTGCAATACAGTTAAACAGTAATCGTCATTAGCCTGCAAGTGGGACTAGTGAAGACAGTCAAGCTAGGTCCTTTGCTACTCAGGATCTGATTCGTCCCCAGGGGCCCATTCCCTTGGGCATTCATGGTCAACCTAGTTAGGGTTGGGGGGTGAGTGTCCATCTTACCTTAACCTGCTGCAGTACACAACCGAGGGAGATTTGCATCCGTGTCCCTACTTTTGAATTTCGGAGAAAAGTGAGCTCCTTTGCAGTCAGAGATTGCTCATGGAGGTAGGGAGTGCTGGACGGATCCCTCCTTGCTGCCTGCAGGACTGAGCGACTTCCTTGTTTTGCCACAACCCAGCAACCTTTGTTTTGCCCCCTCCAGGGAAATTCAGGACCTCCTGGGACAGGAGGACAGAAGGGAGACCCCGGCTTCCCTGGGCCATCCGTAAGTGTCCCTCCAGGTCTGATCAAGTCACTGGGGATGGTGGGTGAGGGGCCGGGTGCTTTGCAGGTGGTCCTTGGAAACCCCGGCCCACACAAAGCTGGGGTGCATCTTCGTTGCCTTTCTCTCTCTCTCTCTCTCTCTCTCTCTCCCCCCACTTCCCCTCTGATATCACAATGGGGAAAAGACTTTTTGAGTCATGGAGTAACGAAAGGCTTTTGAAAAATGCCTCAAGGGGCTGGGGACGTCCTCAGTGGCAGAGTGTGTACTGACTGGCTGCAAGGCCCTGGTTTGCTCCCAGTGCCATAGACAGATGACACAAATGTTTCATGTGATGCTCGGCGGTTTGGGGAATATTTAATTCACCTTTAGAGCTTCCTGGTAGAGTTTTGTGTAGAGGAGAAACTAGAGAGACGAGACCTCAGTACCGCTTGCTTGCAGCTCGTAGAAGAATACTTGTCTGCTGCGGGTGGGGACCTGCCTCCTTGGGTCTGTAAAACCTCCAAGTTGCTACTGATTCCCGAGACTCACTGCCCTGGCTTCTGCCAGCCTGGTGGATCTGTACTGTCCACCTCTTCGTTTCCTTGTTTGGCTGTTTCCACGCTGGAAGGCATGAGGCTCACAGGGGAAGGGCAGGTGACTCTGGAGCTGGACAATCACTCCAGAGGAAGAGTAGGGGGTGCCTTTGGCTGGATGGGGAGAAGGCTGAGACAGGGGTGTGATTGCTGCCTCAGGTGAGGGAGACCAGGCAGGCAGTGCAGGAAGATGAACACAGAGAGGGGTTGCTTTCTACACAGGGATGATGGAAGAGGACATGTGGGGGTCCCTCACTGTGGCTTCCGGGGGACAGCACGTGTGGGACAGGCACCCTCCCCTTGGGAGAAGCAGGTCAAGCTCAAGCGCTGGTGTGTGATTTACAATGCACGCTTCTGGGAGGCCGAAGCAGGAAGATCACAAGTTGCAGCCCAGCCTGGGCAGTTCAGTGCTGTTGTGAGACCCTGACTCAGCATCAAAACTAAGAAGGGCTGGGCTATGGCTCAGTGTGAAGGCCCTGGGCTCAGTCCCCACAGCACTCCCATTGTACAGGCTGTGGTGATGGAGTTATCCACAGCCCGCTTTGCTTCCGCCTTGTTTCTGCGGCCCAGCACCGTTCTGTTCGGGGCCGTGTCACATGCCTTCTGCCACCTGCTTCTCAGCCTTTTCCTGTTGGTTTTCCAGGGTCACAAGGGCATCCGCGGTGACTCCATCGATGTAAGTTGCATGTGTCCCAAGCAGCCCGTTGTCTTGTCGGCCCTGCGTGTGCTGTCCTCACATGCTCTTCCGTTTCCTTTTAAAGCAATGTGCCCTTATCCAAAGCATCAAGGACAAATGCCGTAAGTACCTGGCGTCTGCTGCCCGGTCACGTGACATTCTCACACTTGACGTCTGCACGTGAGGACAGGCCTCTCACCCTTTCTTCTCTGTTTCCTTTGCAGCTTGCTGCTATGGTAAGTTGATCTCTGTGGGTTGGCTCTGCCCTCAGGAAAGAAAGGTCCTTCTCTGGAGTGAGGCTGTCCTTTGTCCCCTTCCCGCAGGGCCCCTGGAGTGCCCCGTCTTCCCCACGGAGCTGGCCTTCGCCCTGGACACGTCTGAGGGCGTCACCCAAGATGCCTTTAGCCTCATGCGAGACGTTGTCTTGAGCCTTGTGGGCGACTTGGCCATTGCCGAGAGCAACTGCCCGAGGGGGGCCCGTGTGGCCGTGGTCACCTACAACAACGAGGTGACCACGGAGATCCGGTTTTCGGACTCCAGGAAGAAGTCAGCCCTGCTGGACAGCATTAAGAACCTTCAGGTGGCCCTGACTTCCAAGCAGCAGAGTCTGGAGACTGCCATGTCCTTTGTGGCCAGAAACACGTTTAAGCGTGTGCGGAACGGGTTCCTGATGAGGAAGGTGGCCGTTTTCTTCAGCAACAGGCCCACGAGGGCAACCCCACAGCTGCGCCAGGCGGTGCTCAAGCTGTGGGATGCGGGCATCACACCTCTGTTCCTCACCAGCCAGGAGGACCGGCAGCTCGTCAACGCCTTGCAGGTGCAGGTTCTGTGCGCTGCCGCCTGTCCTGCCCCTCCTGTCTCTCAGGAGGAAGGGTTCTCAGGCATCCACACTCTCCCTGGTGCACTCATGTCCCCAGCTTCTCAAAGGCTCCCATGAGGCCAAGCTGGCCAGGCCTTCTCTCGACCTTCTCTCTTCCCCATGGCTGCCGCACTGGGTCAGGATCCGAGTGCCTGAAACTTCCGCCCTCTGGTTCCCAGCTCTTCCGGTTAGCGATGCTCTTGCAGGGGCTGCAAATCCAGACGTTGGTGTTGCTTGCTGCTCTGCTCTGAGGTGGGGACCTGGAAGGTGGGAAGTTCGGGCTCCTCTCCAGGTGGCCCCATGAGCTGTGTGTGACCTGTCCTGGGGATGTGCTTCCTGTGACAGGTCCCTGAGCTTTGCCTCTAGCCTCACCTTATGGGTGAGAAGACCATGACCTCAGTGGGGAGTCACGTGAGGAGGCGCCCTGGGCCCCCCACTCTGATGTCCATCCCACTCTGTCCTACCTGCCCTGGAGGAGAATCTCCTCTCAGGAAGCCCCCAGACCCCAAAGGTGCACCTCTGCACAGACCTCTCCTTGGCTGGTGACGTTGGGCTTGCCGGGTGGGAGCCCCAGCTCGGAGGGTGCTTGGGGCACCTGCCCACCTGCCCTGTTGGAGCCACAGAGCTCAGCACCACCTTTGTGGGCTTCTCTCGGTTGGGCCAGGCTGGCCGGGATGCTCCCTAAGTCTTTCCTTCCAAACTGGGCTTTCTGTGGTTTCCTCACTGCTGGGTCTTCAGAAGGCAGATGGGCCACTGTCACTGTTGCTTCTACCAAGCCGAAGGCAAGGCAAGGGACAGGAGCCTGGGCTTGGGAGCCCAACTTTAAACTTAGGCCATGCACGGTGTGCTCCCATGCAGGGCCCCGTTGGGCGCTGTCCTGTGAGGGCTGAGAGACAGGAGGCAGGCATCATTTTGAGTGGGCTCTCTCCTCCTCCTCTCGCCACACGAGTGGTGACTGAGGGGCCCTTTCCTCACCTGCACGGTCACAGTCTAGACCCGAGTGGGGAGTGGCTGCTTTACTGCTGAAGAGGGCCGTCGTGTCTACATTCCCACTTGCTGCCGGAGGACACGCAGGTGTTTTACAAATGCCAGCTAGTCTCAGCCCATGGGAAGCAGTTGTCATCTGCATTTTACAGCCAAGAAAGTGGGAGCCTAGACAGGTTAAATCACTGTGCATCAGGCCCAGCAGCAAGCATGGGATTTGAACCAGCTTAGAACAAAACCTGGTTTCCTCCTGCCACCCGAGCCTCCCCCTCCATCCACAGCCAGAGGTGCCAGGCTGGGCTTGCTCCAAGGCCCTGTGCTCAGCAATCCCTTCCCGTGCCACCTCCCAGTGTGTCCTTTTGTTTACCCCAGATCAACAACACTGCCGTGGGCCACGTGCTTGTCCTGCCCACGAGAAGGGACCTCACGGACTTCCTGAAGAACGTCCTCACGTGCCACGTGTGCCTGGGTGAGGTCTGCTGGGAGGGGTGGGGGCGTCTGTCCAGCTGCAGCCACCAAGTGTGAGCTCTCCAGAGGGATGTTGGAGGCGAGAATTATGATCTGTCTGTTTAGAGCAGATCCCCAAAACAGAGGTTCCCCTCTGATGGGAGACAGCTCGTTTTCCAGGCAGCAAGGGAGAAGGGTCGAGAATGAGGAAGTTCGGTTTGGGTGACTTTTTAGAGCATACTTCTTCCGAAAGTGGCAAAGAACTCAGTCTTTCCTTCTTTATTTTCCAGAAGTTTTATTGATGGATTGATTGGAATGGGAGACTGAACCCAGGGCCTTCACACTGAGCTACGTCCCCAGCCCTTTTAAAAATTCATTTTTATTTCTTTATTTAAATTTTTGTCAGTACGTGTTTGCAGTACATAATGGTTACATTCATCACGGGGAGCTGGTGCGTGCACAGAACACACCTCAGTTCTTTTTACATCCCTTCCCCTTCTCTCTGTCTCCTGGCCCCTCCCCATTTGCAAAAGATCTGTCTCACTGTTTCCTATTGGCTGTCTTTTATTTTGCTCTTCATTTATATTTTGGGTTTCTCAAGTGAGAGAAACCATGCAATATTTAAACTTATGTGTGTGATTTATTTCACTTAACATCATGGTCTTAATTTTTAAATTTTGTGACAGTATCTCACTAACTCAATAAGTTGCCCAGGCAGGGTTCAAACTTGCAGTTTTCCTGCTTCAGCCTCCTTGACAACCTCCTCAGCAAGGGTTACAGGCACACACTGTCACACTCAGCTTCCTTTTACATTTTTAAATGCCAGTTTCACGGTGTGGTGCAAAGCTTTTAGTTTCCTGATTTGTTTCATCCAGGGAGTATCGGGTGATGAAAACCAAACTCTGGCCATGTCTACAGTCATGAGATATAAATAGGTTTCTCTCTTCCGTGGCTGATTTAATCTCCCAGACACTCGCCAGGTTCGTGTCCTGCAGACACAGAGTAACAGGGCTGCCCTGCTTCCTTCTAGACATCTGCAACATCCAACCGTCCTGCGGGTTTGGCAGCTGGCGGCCTTCCTTCCGGGACAGGAGAGCCGCAGGCAGCGATGCGGACCTGGACCTGGTGTTCCTCCTGGACAGCGAGGAGACAACCAGCCTGTTCCAGTTCAACGAGATGAAGAAGTACATTGGCTACGTGGTCAGGCAGCTGGAGCTGAGCCCCGACCCCGGGGCCTCCCAGCACTTGAGCAGGGTGGCTGTGGTGCAGCACGCACCCTACGAGTCCCTGGGCAACGCCAGCGCGCCGCCCGTGAGGGTGGGGCTGTCACTGACGGACTTCGGCTCCAAGGAGAGGCTGCTGGAGTTCTTGGGCCGTGGAGTGGTGCAGCTGCAGGGAGGCAGGGCCCTGGGCCGTGCCGTCGAATACACCGTCCAGCACGTGTTCGAGAGCGCGCCCAACCCGCGGGACCTGAAGGTCCTGGTGCTGATGCTGACCGGGGAGGTGCCGGAGCAGGAGCTGGAGGAGGCCCGCAGAGCCGTCCTGCAGGCCAAGTGCAGGGGCTACTTCTTTGTGGTCCTGGGCATTGGCCGGAAGGTGAACGTCAAGGAGGTGTACGGCTTCGCCAGTGAACCCAACGACGTCTTCTTCAAACTCATGGATAAGTCGAGCGAGCTCAACGAGGAGCCGCTGATGCGCTTCGGGAGGCTTTTGCCGTCCTTCGTTGGCAGTGAGTCCATGTCGTGCACATCACTTAGGAGGTGGCGTCGCTGGGGGTACACAGATGATATCCATATCCTTGTTCACTCATTTGTTACCCCAAATCTGGCTGGGCACTGCCTAGCCACACAGCATTGTGGGTATGTCATGGGGATCACGATGGCCTGGGCTGAGCTCCTGCCCCATGCTGGACCCTTGGGGTCTCTGCTGACGGGGACCCTCCTGGCAGCCAATCCACATTCCTCTCCCAAACTCACCCCAGCTCCCGCCTGGACACCACACGCAGACCACATGTGGCTGGGGAGGTGCAGGCTTCACCTTCCCCAGGGCATGGGCAGCCCAGGGCGTCAGCACAGGCAGTGGACTGAGCAGCGGGGAGGATGATAAAGCAGCAGCCAGCGTTTCCCGCTGGATACGTACAGGTCAAGGGAAGGCTGAGGGCCCTGAACACAGCCTTCATGTTCATGAAGGTCCCCAGAAGATTTAGGGGAGCAAATGTGAGTTGTAGGTTTATCCAAAGGCACTGATCTGTCCTTGAAAGATGAAAAAGTGTTATACAACAAAGCACTGGGGAAAAACAAAACAAAACAAAATAAACAAAAAATTGGGGAAATATTCAGTGTAGCTGGATTATAGTTTGATGGTCGGAGTTTGGACCTTGTTAAACTTTCCACTTAGATTTTTTTCTATTTTCATCTTCTCTCATATCGAGTATTAATAATACTCATATACTCTCGTATCGAGTATGAGCCTTAACCTAATCACCCAAATATCAACAAACAGAACATGCTGACTTAAGGTGCTTTCTGCATTGAGTACCATCCAATTTAATATTTAAAATCACGGTACTTAGCTTGTCTGGAAAAATTAATTAATTTAACAAATATTTATGGGCTGAGTAAATATCACGTGGTCCATTTGACCCACGAGTGACTGATTTTAACTTCAGTATGATCCACGTGCAGCTAAAGCATTTGTTTCTCTGGTGCTCTCTAGGTGAGAATGCTTTTCACTTGTCCCCAGACGTAAAACAATGTGATTGGCTCCAAGGGGACCAACCAGCAAAGAATGGTGTGAAGTTTGGTCACAAACAAGTGTAAGTGATTATGATTATTGTCTCAAGAACAGTAGAGCAAGAGGGAAAGCAGAGTCCTCCAGCCAATCCCTGACATGTTAAGGATGAGGACTTTGCCATCTGGACAGTGGGATTTCCCTAGGTCATACCGGTCATTCTTAAAGAATCTGCTGTATCAGTTAGCTTTTGCTGCATAACAAACTACTCAAAACTTAGTGCTTAAAATAGAAACTCTTCATTTAGTTTGTAATTCTGTGGTTAGTAATTCCTGGCTGGGTTCTCGTGGTCTGTCTCAGCTTCCTTGTACAAAGGGCGATAAAAAAAAAAAAATACGGTGAATGTTTTAAATTCAAAAGTTTATTACAATAAAAGATTAATTGCCATGAATCCCCTCAAAATGCTCCTCCTTGCTTTGAACATATTTATCCCATTGCTCCTGCCCCACTGTTCAAAGCAGTTCTGGAGTTCTCTTTCCTGAGTGTCTTTATGAGGTATGATAAAAAATGCAGTGAACGCTGCTGCAGAGCGCCATCTAACAGAAAGGCAGGTTTGTAAAAACATCGCAGTGTGACTTTATCCACTTTATTTACTGGGTGTGATACTGTGGGACTTTTGGCTCTATCCTAAAGTCAAAAATGACCATGGAAGGTCAATGTTTTGAATCAGTTCAGGCTGAGAGCACATGAGAGGCAGCCATGAGAATACAACTAAAGACCCTCAGGAAAGAGGACTCCAGAGCTGCTGCAGACAGACAAGAGTGATGGAATTTGTATTGAAAGCAAGGGGAAGTATTTTGAGGGGGATTCATGGTAATGTGTCTCTTACTATAGTAACTCTTTTGTTTAAGCACATACCATAATTTTTGATCACATCGCGTATGTTAGTGGTCTGCTGTTGGCTGTGTGGACAGCTGGTTAGGGTGCCCTCAGCTGGGATGGTTCATCTTTGCTCCGTGTGTCTCTCGATCTCCAGTGGGCTGGCCGGGGCTTGTTCAAAGGTGACCCAGCAGGTCTCCACGAGAGACACAGGAATGTACAGGTCTCCTCAGACCTAGGCTAGACCTGGCCGGCTGCTACCTCCTGCCACATTCTTTTGACCAAAGCATTTCAGAGTCCTCCTAGATTTGGGGGTGCAGAGCTAGGGGTGAGGGAGGACCTGCCACATTTCACTATACAGGACATAGGGACAGGGAAGGCTGCCTGTCAGATGCACTCTATCTTCAAACTGATACCATAAAACATCAAATGCTAAGCTACTCAGTGAGTTCTGTTTTCCTTGCGATAAGAAAGCTGAGCCAACTTTAGGGAGAATTCTGGAGGAATAACGAGGTCAGCTCAGGGCTCGAAGAACAGAGCCTGTGAGCTGGGGCAGGGAAAAGAGTGGGCAGCCAGGAGCGTACTGGAGCCTCACTTTCCAGGGATTACTGGGAGACAAATTTGGGACAAAGGCCAGAGCCTCCAGCTCCCAGCAGAGCGTGACAGACACACCGCGGCGTTCTCCTGGGGACAGATTGAGGGCACTTTCCGCCCGCCAGCTCCACATCTGAGGCTCCATGTCCCAAGTCCTCTGTCACAGGAGCACACCGCCTGCACTCCTCCTCCTGGTGGGACAGGCACACCAACGCCTGTCGGGGCTACTGCGTCACTCCTGCGTTGCCCACTCATGAAGAGACGCAGAGTCCGTTTTTTGCTGTCTCCAATCTGTATGAAATCCACTCACACCAGACACGGTAGATTGTTTGGATGTCTGGCCTCATCATCCTGCCGCGACCCCTTCTCCCTGAGACGTCTACGTCCTGCAGCTCACGCTGTGTCCTCAGAGGCAGGGACTCCTGATCTCAGCCGAGTGAGCTGACAGTCAGGACCATGGCGGCCAGGACCCTTGCCGGGCACGGTGCTGCCCCGCTTCTGCATCGCTCAGCTCATGGGCTCTGTGCTTCCAGCCATTGGTAGAGCTAACATTTCTCCAGAATACAACGCTACCTCGGTTCATGAATTTAATTCATTCCTTGATTCTGGCTGCCAACTGAATCAACTTTCCCCATAAAGTTCAGTGTCTGTGGATGCGGAGTTTTCGAACAGAAGCAAAATTTTGCAGAACACTTCTGTTCCTGAGCAGAACTGTTTGTGAACAGAAGCATTTGTGAAGCGAGGCACCACTCTATTCCCTAAAGTTCACGTAACTTTCTTATTGCAAGGAAAACAGAATGAGCAAAGTAACTTAGCACTTGCAGTTTCATGTTATCAGCTTGAAAATATAGTGCCTATGACACATAGCATGATAGAGCTATAAAATAACTGACTTTTCCCTAAAAGCAAGAACAAAGCGTTCAATAGTGCTGGTGTATTGTTTGGTGATGTTTGGTATTCTCTCTAAGGATTTGTACTGGATCAAGAAATTGTTAAAAAGAAACACACACGAAAAATGGATACAAACAAAAAATACACATATTTTCCACCAAAAATAAGTAATGGAGACGAAATTGTATATGTTGACTTTATCATTTCCTAGTTCAAAGTGACATTTGGTTGAGTGGATGATTTCTTACTGTGAAAATAGCTTATTACTGATTTTATTTATTTATTTATTTATTTATTGGTACCAGGGATTGAACTCAGGACTTTGTGCTTGCGAGGCAGGCAGTGGAACCACTGAGCTAAACCCCCAGCCCCTGATTTTATTTAAATTAAAATTAAAATTTTATATGTGTTTCAGTTTGTTAATTGGTATAATTAGAATATTGTTAAATATTGTCTATTCTTTTCTCGCTTCCTTTCTGCTTTTTTTATAAGTTGAAAATAAGATGTCAAATATATTTGTAGACAATGTGTGCCTCATTTTTAATGGCTCTATATTTATATTCTGTTCAATATCCATTTGGGCAAAAATTCTAAAAGCAAATTTAACGTAGGTAATACTGTACATAATCAATAAACCTAGCACATGTGCTTTGCTAAAATAGCAAGTTCCACAGAGCTCATGGGCATTGTCTTTGTCTATTTCAAATAGCATTTGAAAGCATGGTAGAGGTAATGTTTAATTTGTTTTAACAGAAACATTCCGAATAACATTACTTCAAATACTACAACCAAACCAGTGACAACAAAACCGGTGACCACCACCACAAAACCAGCAACTGTTGTAAATCTGCCGCCTGCTAAGCCAGCTGCTGGGAACCCGGCTGCCGCAAAGCCTGTGGCTGCCCAGCCTGTGGGCACCAACACAGCCACAGGCAGACCTGGGGTGGTGGTGAAGCCAGTGGCCGCAGCAAAACCTGCAGCAGCAAAGCCAGCAGCTGTGAGACCCCCTCTCCCTCCTGCAAGGGTAGCATCCACCAAGCCAGAGGCCGCCAGGACACCAGCCAAACCAGCTGCTGCCACCAAGCCAGAGGCTCTCAGGCCACAGGCCAAACCAGCAGCCCCCAGGCCAGCTGCTGCTAATCCTGCAGGTAAGATGCCCTCCAAGCCTCCACCTGGAGGCCTGCTTAGGTAGCAGTGGAAATACAGCCACCACTCTGGGATTTGAACACATGTATGGTGCATTCTAAAGGATGCTGGCCCCGGAATGGCATTGGCTAAATGTTGCTTTTTTTTCTGCTAGAAAGCAGTCTTTCTTTTATGACTCCTCCAAGGCAGGTGAGGCTCCGGCCCCTGGCTCCTCCTTCCTCGTTGGCCCCATCCTTGGCATGGGGTGGGAGCCCTCCTCTCTTTGATATCAGCACACATGGCTCACCTCACCTAGAAACCCAGCTGTCTAAGCTAAAGAATGAGATCCTAAGTGAAAGTAGCTTTAGACTTCCTTCAGGGCATGAGAGGGAAAGAACAGGCCTGTCCTTGGCTCTCGGGCCACAAAGCATGTGTTTCTGTGCTTGGTTTCTGGAGCCAGACCCTCTCGTCCCCAGACTATGACTCAAAAAGATCGGGATGGACCCTTGGTAGTCATAAGCTTTGTTCCGCACCAAGCACCTGGCCATGGAGAAGTTGCCCTAAGCTACTGCTGTGGCACTGTCAGGGTGCTTCATCCTTGAACTAAGTCAGGGCTCAGACATCAGGCCTGGGCCTCCTCCCAAGCCTGACTTGTGTGCTCCCTCTGGCCATGAGAAAAACAATATCAGACACCAGACATAGGTGGGTTAAATGAGACCCAAGCACAATATTTTATCATTTCCTCAGAGGAGATGTTAGACGGTCACAGCTCTACAGGAAGGGGAGGGAAGGTTGTATGTACTCACGAAAAGACAGAAATTGTCTTCATTTCATGGGCCGAGAGAAAGCTCAGGTCCCTTTAAAATAATTTCATGCCATGCCTTGAAATTTCATGCCTTCATATATTTTAAGTGGCAGGGCTCATTTTACATCAATCCCTTGGCTGATTAATGTGCAGGATTTTGCATTTTCAAAGTATCTCTTTAATAGCAAGATTTTCAATAGAAAGAAAAAGGGTGGCACACACACTGTTGATGAATAATGAGGTCTTCAATTGCATGCAATCTTCACACGCATGCTGAGAGACAACAGGACCAATATTTGTCAGGAACTTGAACAAGAAACTAGTTTTGTGCCTCAGCCGAATTTCAGATCAGCTGTCTGCTGACGGTCTTCCTCCGTGTTGGGGTGGTGGTGGATGCTGTTTTTATCTCTGTTTTCTGTCTTGCAGTGAAGGTGGTGCCCGAAGTCCAGGTGTCCGAGGTCACAGAGAACAGCGCCAGACTCCGCTGGAAGAGGCCCGAGGCCCCTGGCTCTTACTTTTATGACCTCACTGTCACCTCGGCCCAGGACCAGTCCCTGGTTCTCAGGCAGAACCTCACGGTCACGGAGCGTGTCATCGGGGGCCTGCGGGCCGGACAGACATACTACGCGGCGGTTGTCTGCTACCTGAGGTCGCAGGTCCAAGCCGTGTTCCGCGGAACCTTCAGCACAAGTGAGTGTGCAGCTGGTCCCTGACCTCGGGGATGGACGGTTGGTGAGATGTAAAGGAAATGAGTCTTTGTTGAATCTATCCTGAAAGGCCCCCAAAATTCACCAGTAAAAAGAAGCACTCTGGGTGCTGTGGTTGCACCCTAGCTTTATAAAAGAATGGAACAGAAGACGGGTCCACGTGCGGTCCTGAGAAGTGGCTCCTGGGACCACAGCTGGTGACTCCTGGGGTACAGGACCGGCGGGTGCTCTGCTGCCACCACTTGTCCCTGTCCCGAGTCCAGGGAAGGAAAAGCACCAGCCGCTGCTCTTCAGCCTCCTGCACCACTCATGGGCCCTCTTCCCTCTGAGTTCTTCTGGGAGTGCAGACTCTTCAGGCCCTTAGATCTTTCTGTTTTCTTAGATGGCAGCAGACGAGCTTGTGTGGGAGGCAGGAGGATTGGGTCAGAAGATCAGGGCTTTCCTGCGCTTGCTTGTAAGCAGATGGCTCCAGTGTGCAGACTGCAACATAACCGGTGTACACGGAGACTTCAGGAATCTCTGTTTCCACGGCCCACCCCTAGATGAGATGTTCATCAGGAAAGGCAGACTTGTGCTGGTCCTCAGCCCTTTGGTTTATGATTTACCTACTGGCTACATGTGTTTTTCTTTTATAGAGAAAACTCAGCCTCCACCTCCATCGCTAGCGAGGTCAGCTTCCAGTTCAAGCATCAACCTAATGGTGAAAACTGAGCCATTGGCTTTTACCAAAACAGGTGAGTTGCAAAGATGTGAAGCCCATTTAGGGCATTAGGGCACCGAGAAGGGAGTCTTCTGGGAATTCTAAAGCTTTTGAGGTCTTGATTCTAGATCATCTGCCTGGTCTAACTGCCAGGACTTCTCTGGGGAGAATCCCAGTGGGCTCTGTGGTTGCATTCTGTGGATTCCCAGGTGGAAGTGGAGATGGACCTCTCTGTCCCCAGTCTCTGAGAGGGAATTGGGTGGGAGTCGCTGCAAGATTTAAGGCAGAACCATGCAGCGGCTGGTCACTCACCCTGAGCTCGCATTGAGACCAGAGTTGTTTGTGGTCTGCAGAGCTGGAAGCGCAGAGTTCCATCCACTCAGTGATTTACTCTAATAAGAAACTGCTTAGGAGAACAAGGGCAACCCAGAGCAGAACCACGAAATACAGAGGTTTGGACACAGCGCAGGGGTGCTCTGGGTCCAGTTCCCTGGCTTAGTCTCGTACCCTCTGCTGTGTGCCTGAGCCCTGCAGTTTGTATAGGTTTGTGCTCAGGTCTTGATCACCTGTGGTCCTGGGTGGGGGATCTGGGAGACCTGTCTGCCCTCATCCAGGGGAATCAGAGCCTGTCTTCTTCATCCTGTCAGACTGATTACTAGAGTGGTCGATATGTCTTGCTTAACAGTGTTGAGCAAAAGAGTTGATACTCACATAACAGAGATCAAAATTCCATGAGTGTTTTAGACATTGACCCCAAGGCAAAAGTTGCTGCTAACTGTGGGGAAAGTTTGTTACTTTTGCTGGGTTGGCCCCAGGCAGGAGGAGAAAGGCATCTCTGGCTATGTGCTGATTCCTGTAATTAACTGCAATAAAAGACATTGGCAGCTGCTTCTGTACTATGCTAGATTAAGAGCAGCCACGGCTATTTAATATGTAGACAAGGGCATATGTTGACTATGCATTGTCAGAAGCAATAGCACTTTATTTTTTGAGCTGTTGTGTACATATTCCTCATTTTACTCTTTCCACTATAAGTTTTTAAATGATGTTTGTCTTTCTTACCCTTTCTGCACAGTCCAGCTCTCATTTCGTTTACACTGAAATTAAAGTCCATGGTTCTGAGTGTTTTCTAACTCCACATCTTTGTTACTTTGGGGCCACTGGGGAGTAGAGGCCTTTGATTCTGTCAGTTTGTTAGACTGCTTTCTTCCCTGTGTCCCTGTAGGAGGTACCTGTGGATCTTTGTGTCTGCAGGCCCCTCAAGGGCCCACCTTCCATTTGGACCTAGGGCGTCTAGGAAGAAGGAAAACATACCGGGGCAGGAATTGTTGAACCATTGATGTTTAATAAGAGCAAACAAGTGGTCTACTTGTAGAATTTGTAACTATCTAGTTATAGTCTCCCTTAGAGACACATCTAGGAATTGGTCTATGTTGGAGAGACAGCTACCTGGTTTTCAAATACCTCTTCTTCCAATGGAAAGATGGATAGGAAATTCTTTCTTCATTGCAAATTTATGGAAATGAGCCAGAACTTCATGGTAGATTGCATAACTCAATTTAACATCTTAGGGTTGTGTAAAAGACTTGCCAAAAAATCTTAATGTGGTGATTTTTAACTCAAACTAAAAGACCAGAGGAAGGCATGTGCAGTAAGGGTTGGTTGGGGTGAAGGGAACAGAACTTGAGTCTCTACTCTTTTGATTTCTTCTCACAAGTAGTTATCTGAGTCCACATCAAAGGGCTGTAGCTGGGGCTCTGTCCTCGCCCATGGGACCTGCAGCTCCTGACTCCTCTGCTCCTAGAGGCTGCCAACCTGAGGATTGACCTCAGGGGGAGCCCCGAGGGACATAGCAGCTTTCCCTCGGATGTGGTCGGGTGGCTGGGTGCTGACCCCCAAGGCCGATGTGTGTGACTGTCCCCACTCACCGGCTAACTTCACTCCTCACAGTGTGGGAAATGGGAAGCTTTTAGGACATTTTGCTTCATTGAGAGAAAACCACGTGGAGTAACCGCCAGGCAGCGAAATCCAGGGATTTTTTGGTTCTCTTATGTGTAGTCCTGATGAATAAGAACATCTAAACACAGCTTAGTTAATGTAAACAGTGCCAGCTTGGGACACGAGTCGGGTAGGCTGTTCTGCTCTTTTCACACGGAGTTGGAAGTCTCAGAATGAGGGAAGTGGTTTCCCCGAGACCTTTAACACGAAGCTCCGGTGGTGAGGAGAGACAGGGTTTGCAGATGGGCATGCGTCTCTGCCAAAGCTGCTGGACCTCCGACAGAGATGAGGCTAGGACCTGTCCCCTTCACCCTGGAGGGTTTCACATGGCCCAGAGAAGGGGCTTCCTCACAGGGCTCAGTGAACACTGCCAAGCCCTCATTTACAGGGCATTTTCCACAGCTCTTTTTGGATTAAATTAATTGGATATTTACTTCAAAATGTTCAAAATTCAAAATGGGTAACAAAAGAGGAGGACGATAAAGAGTCATCTTTCCCTTTCTCTCCCAGCCTCTTTTATTCCCTTCTCCTCCTCTTCTTTGTCACCTTAATATATTTTCTTCGGGAGGGGTTAAAATATTTTAACAATATTTATTTTCTTAGAGATAGAAAGAGGAGTGACAACTAATAACATCAAACTATTTCTTAAATAACTTCAAAGTATAGTAACTGCATTCTTAGTTGAGTGTATATTTTGCATCCAAATATCAATGAACATAATCAGCACTAATTGCTTTGAAGATGTATTTTCTAGAGAAAAGTTTCTCCTGGAAAGAGAAACTGGTTTACACTGCAATTCTGAGCTAAGGCTGATGACCGCTTTTCCTCCTTCCTATCTTCTAGGCTGCCATTAGCATCTCAAGAATAAATAAAGAGGAGAAAGTTAGTGAACACACAGCCAAACCCTGCAGGGTTGTGCCTGAAGGGGCCACCTCATTTTACAGGGTAAACACAAACAACTATGGTGCCCTAAACCTCAGTGCTCCAGGGGAAAATCCAGGTTAATCTCAGGGAGGCCTGGACAGCTGCCTGTGTGCTGCAGGACGTGGTAGTCATTTTTGCTTCAGCAAGGCTTTGTTAGCACCTGCACGTGTAGCTTAGGAGGTGCCCCCAAAACGGTGGGTGTCGGAAGTCAGGATGATGTGGGCTTAAACCTGGAAGGCTTCATGAGAAGAGATACTCACCCATTTCCATGCTTTGCAAAGACTTTTGTCTTTGGATAGTGTAGGGTGTCATGAAGACATTTGTCTCCATTTTCCAAATGTTTACTTCTGCACTGGTAGCATCCTTTGATTCCTTTGGTGAAATTCTCTCGTCTTCTAAGTTCCTGACAGCGAGGCATTCCCTCAGCCAAGAGCATGTTTGAGAGAAAAGAGGTGATTTTTGTAAGTGGTCCTCATTTCATTATGGCTTCCTTGGGTCTTCAAAGGTTCTTGATGGGGCTGTGGGACTCTGCAAGGGTCTTCAGGGAAAGACGTCATAGTTGGAGCTATCTGCCCTCCCTGCCCTCTGTCAACCAGGCTCCTGTGAGGCCGGGTCTTTCCCCAGTGCCTTGGAGTCCCGTATGCACGACCAACCCCAGCTCTGATTACCAACTGAGCACCCAGGTTTCCCCTTCGTTTTTGCTGTCAGTCAGAACTGCAGCTGCCCACCTTCTCTGCAGCCAGGCACAACCAGCCTGTGGGTTTCAGGGGGCAGGGCCAGCAGCTCTTCCTGGGGAGCTGGAAGATTCGGCCAGCAACCCTCTCGCTCATGCACACACACAGGCTTATCTGCCCCAGATAGCATTCTGTTGAAAAAAGGCTCAGGGCTTCCAAACTTTCAGATAACAGCCCACATCTGTGCCTCTCTTTCCTGGCACAGCCTGGGCTTGGCCAGAAAGCTCTGTAAACAGAAGCCCCTGTGTGTAGACTGTGAAGTCAGAAATACACATCCTAACAGAGTCTTCCTGCCAGACCGGGGGTGCTTCTCAGCGTCCCTGAGAGCTTGCAGTAGGGGATTTTGCTGTCGTGACTTTCATTTACCCAGTGACTGTTTTTGTTTGTAGTTGTAAAACTTGGCTGGCGAGGAAGGCACTCAGGTCGGCACACACGTGCACATGCGCACACACACACATCCATAAGGGTGTCTGTTTCTGCTTTACCTTTACCTTTCAGTCTACCTGGCGTGTTATGAAGGGTACAGCCTTATTTTCAAATTATACTTTGAAGGAATTTACTGTCATTTTGCCAAGGAGCAAAAATAAATAAAAAGCTCCAGAGTGTCCAAATTCAGCCTCTTTCTCCTCTGCTGATGTAACATGGAAGAAACTGGGGAGTAGATGGCCCTGTGTTTGGAAAGAGGACAGGAGTTGACTTCATTTTCAGGGATCTGAAATAATGACAGCCACCATTCAGGGTTCTGAGTGTAATTTATGAAGGTCTTTCATAGACAGGATTTTATGGATGCCTCACAAAGTCAGAGTGATGATAGTGTCCTGCGTCAGTGAGGAAACCAAGGCTCAGGAGAGGGGCTTTCTGCCAGGACTCGCTCTGTCCGTGATCAGACCGTAGCCCCGGAGCCGGAGCAGCCTGCAGAGTCTACTTGATGCACTCCTTCTCCCCTTGTGACTGCAGATATCTGTAAGCTGCCCAAAGACGACGGGACGTGCAGGGAATTTAAGCTGAAGTGGTTCTACGACGCGAAGACAGAGAGCTGTGCGAGGTTCTGGTATGGAGGCTGTGGTGGGAACGAAAACAGATTTGACTCCCAGCAGGAATGTGAAAAGGTTTGCGCTTCTGGTGAGTGGTGGTTCCTTGTGTTTATGGCCATTGCAAACAAGATAAGAAATCCAGGCCAACAGTTCACCCTTGAAAAATATTTGAATCACAACCACCACAATACATTTGAAAAAGATCGATTACATCTGCAGATGAGGAAGATACTCAAACAAAACACACAAAAAAGATAACATTTCACAAAAAATCACATGCAATTAGTGCTTTGAATCATCCTTTTGTTTCCTAAACACACATTAATGAAGAAACACATGGCCAACTACTTGTTACCCGTCAGAAATGCTACCAAGCTCTGATTATTCATAAAATCTTGTAGCAAATATGAGTGCTAGAAAAAAATAATATGATGGTCAATGATAGAGCATGAAAGAGAAACGCTTGCATATATTCATCTCTAGATAGTTTTGCTCCCTGTAAGTGATACTGCTGCTCCTGGGGCCTCCGGTACCTCTGTGGCGTTGGGCAACTCCATGGGTAACAGAATGGAAGCTGCTCGGTCCAGGGCCTGTGGGTGGCGCCAGGGGGAATGCAGTTTGCCTGGAGCTGGGAGATCACAGGGCTGGGGGCGCTCGGGCTGCCCAGAGCCCAAGCCCAGGCCTCACGGGAGCCGGCGACGGTGATGAGCGGAGAGGGATGGAGTGCAGACCAGAGGCGGGGTCAGCACTGTGCACATGCTGCTCTTTACGCTCAGTAACGTGGCTGTTTCCTCTCCTCTCCTCTGCTCTCCTCCCTCCAGGCTCATTGCTCCCCAAACCCGGAGTCGTCAATGTGATGGGAACCTAGGCGTGGCTGGCCCAACACATACCTCTGGGAGAAGAAGGAGGCAGCCATTTGCAACTCTTCATCTTTGAATCTGTAGAAGGTCCGGGGAGATTCCCTGGCTCTGTGCCATTTTGTGCTTCAATTGACACCCGGACCCAGAGGAAGTCTTCTTCCGCACGACCTATCAATTTGGTGCTAAGCGTGTCTGTGGGCCCCTCGCTCTGTCTCCAGGCAGTTATCCCGTATACTTTGAGTGTTGTGGGATAGTTAGCCACTCCGGTGTGGATGTGAACACCCCCGTAAGCTCCAGGCTGTCTGGAGTTTCTATTTTGCCTTTCCCGGGCAATGCCCTGATGTCCAGCTGCTCTGTATACTTTCGCTTGGTTCATCCCCCCTTAGTTAAGCACGACTTTAGATGGAGAAACAAGAGTCTGCACTTTCATTCCCCCACCCCAATTTCCTGGATGAGACGTTGGGCTAATTTTCTTTTTCTAAATCCTCTAACAAAGGATCTAGTTAGGAGGAAGCAACATCCCTCGACCTGTGTGCACTGTTGGGACCAATGCCTTAATTAAAGAATTCAAAGAAAGCCGTAAGAGAGAATATTTTTGGCATTCCTCTAATTTTTTTTTAGTGAAGGGGATGGGGTTTAATTTTAATTATAAAATTTTGAGGAAATTTATACAAAGAAACTTTTTAATAAAGTATGTTGGAAAGTGGCCTGGGTTTGGCCTTCTTGGTGGTCTTGTTTCCATAGAACCAATGGGCTGGGTGGTGGCCGAGCCCTGGCCACTGGTCCTGGCATTGCCCTAGGTCCTAGCGCTGCCCTGTGGCTTCAGTGGAGGGGCAGAAGTCTCCGTGGGACAGGTGCCCAGAGCTCTGTGGGGCCTGGCACCCGTCTGAAGGTGGTCCAGCCTCCTGTGCCAGTATCCCGCAACCCCAGGACCAGCAGAGCCCTGGAGCCCTTCGTGTCCCATGAGCAGGGCTGGCCTCCACTCTCGCCCCAGCCCCAGAGCCCAGCCTCCCTCTCTGTCCCCCTCTACAGTGATTTTTTTTGCCTAGAATTTAGCTTGTTCCCAGCTCACAATGGCTCAGGGATGTAAGAGTCCTCCTGGGCTCCTCACCCCTTTGACCTCTGCTCATGCCTACCCCCTCTCCATCTTTGAAGACTAATTTTGAAGGCTGAAGCCAGCACAGTGGGCCCATAGAGGGCTGAGCAGTGGTCCTGAATGGCCCTTCGCATGGTCTTTGAAGAGCTAAGGGACTTCCTCAGCACACCCATCTCAGCACCACATAGGCCCAGTGCCCAGGTCTGCTGGCTGGGGGCTCCCTCAGGCTGAGCACATGCAGGCCAAGCTCATCCCAGTGGAGCAAAGGGACGTTTGTAGTGGGACCAACGAGGGAGCCTCGCGGGTGCATCTGACCACGTGGAAGACGGAAGTGGTGTCTACGAGGCTGCAGGGTTGGGACGAAGTGCCACGAACTGGGTGGTGTAAAGCAACAGCAATGTACGCACTTACAGATTTCAAGGCTGTGTCCCCCACAAGGAACCCTTCCTCGTCTCTGCCTACCTTCTGGTGGTGGCCACCCTCTCGGCCTTCTTTGGCTTGCACTGTCTGCAATCCCGCACCTTCTCCCTATATCTTGTTCTCCATGTCCTATCTTCTCTTGAGGACACCGGTCATATTGGATGAAATCTTAGTTTATGACAGTGGGCAGAGGCGGGCTGCATGGAGCTGGGACGGCCAGCCAGGGGTGTGGGCTCTGAGACGTGCAGTGGGCCGAGCACACTGAGCAGGTTCGGGGCACTGAGATGATCAGAGAATAGAGACATGCAGGGTCTGGGCAACGTGGCTCCATGGGAACCATGTCTGGTGCCCATGGGAGGGGTGTGGCAGAGATCCAGGGGTGAAGATTGCCCTTCAAAACCAGAGGGAGAACCAAGAATGTGGACAGAGTGGCTTTGTGGAACTGGGACCAGGGGCATGACAAAGCTCTTCGCTATGGCTTCAAGTCTCCAGGGGAAACAGAGGCAGGCAGGAGCAGGAGCTTGGGGTCCAGCATGGGGTTGGGCAGTGTGGTTCTTGCTTTTGCTAGCAGGAAATGAGGACTTCCTGGGGGATGAGGTGGATTGCAAGTAGACTCAAATGCCCACATGGGGCTTTTGGCTATGGCACTAAGTGACACTGGTCTTCCTAGTGGGATGATTTTTCTCCAGTGGCTTTGGTGCAGACCCAAGGAAAGCAGCAGACAGTGATGGCTCTTGTATCCCAGGGTGGGACTCTGCGGTGGTGGAGGTGGTGATGGGAGATTCCAGGTACTGGTGCCTTATGGTTTAGGATGTGACCTGGACAGGAGTGGCTGACTTGGAGAATAGGGATAGTTGTTATGAGGGAGAAGGGCCCAGCACTGCGAGGGTACAGCTGAGTGGATTGTCTTTATGAAGACTGAGGCCACAGGAGAGGGTAGATGGTAAAGAAGGGACATAGGGAGGTGGTAGATGAGAAGTAGTGGATGGGGCTGTCCTGGATGGCAGGAGTTTCAAGATCCTAGTGAGTTTGAAGGAGAAGGACAGGAGATGCTTGGAGACAGAAATGGGATAAAGAAGGCACCCATGCCCATGCTTGATCTTTTGGTATGAGGTGGCATGACAGAGCACACGGCTGTGCTGAAGAGGGCCACGGAGCCCAGCCTGATGGTTGGGGTTGGGTAGGGACAGGCTGTGAGACAGGGTAACACAAGTTCTCCCCAGAAATGGCCCCAGGTTTAACATCTTCCTCACTCCCTGTAGGGCCACTGTAGACTGGCATCTGGTCACTTCCTATCTGACCTTCACCACTATCCAGCACCTTGTGCCACATAGTCTGCGGTTGCCATCTGCATGTCCCCTGTAACTGCTGCTGTCCCTCCTTCAGGCCCTCTGCTCTAAGCATCTTCCTCCTGAGTGGCGCCTGTTCCTGGGAGTATTCAGGGGATGGCATCCCAGCTCTAAGAGGGGCTTAACTGCTACTGAAGGAAGAGGTCTTCCTGCTACTTCCTCCTCAGGGTAGAATGGTGCTGTCCTTACATGTTTTTGGTCACTTTACTTGATGTGAATCAGGAACCAATTTTATATTCCAGACTAGACTGATGAAAATGATGGAAAGGCTGAGGCTAAACCAGCTTCATTTCACTCAGGTACGAGTGTTTACCTGTGCTCAGCCTCCCTTCTTGCCCCTTACCCTCTGTGAAGGAAGGCAAGGCAACCTCACATGCCATTACGACTCTGCTTCTGCCACATATTTGTGACAAATGGACATCTTGCTGAAGGTGTGTGAAGAAAAAGGAGAAAAGTCACCACACGCTGTAGGATTTGCATCCATGCATTTGCTCTTTAACAGGTTTCCTCATCCCCAGAGTCCCTCTCCTCCAATAACTAGCTCAAATCTCCCTCTCTTCTTCCTTCATCCAGCTGGTCCCTATCTCCTTCCCCACAAACTGTTCTGGCTGACCCTGGGCTTGGGTTCTTCACTTGGGATAAAGTCCCCGAGAGATGGTAGGTGGTGGCCATTTTGCTTCCTGGCAGCCATTTTGCTTCCTGGCAGCCATCTTGTCCCTTGCTTCTTCTTGCTTCTCGCATGATGCACATGGAATTTGCTCACCCTATTAGATTTTTAAAATTAAGCTTTGCATCCAAGAATATATATTTTTGAAGTACTTTATATTCAATTTAAGACATGTATGTATGTGTACTGATTGATGAGTTTCCCCACATGAATTTGCTTATGCAGCCATTACCTTACTCAAGATGGGTGACATTTCCCATTTGGCAGATGTATAAAGAACATTTAAAGATTTCATCACTTTTCTCCCAGTAAATTTACACATAGATATTTTACCCTAAAGAAACAACTGGAAATTCAGTATGGCATTACTTGGAATGACAAAATTGAGACTGGCAGCGGCACCACTGAGCTAAATCCTCGGCCCATTACAAAAATGAATTAGAGATCAAAAAAATGGCCAAGAGGTGCCTCCTTAAATATATCAGGTTTCATCCAGAAAAGAGTAAAGTAAGTTGACATCAGATATGCCATAGTGGTGATAAATGGTCCACACAATTACTCAGCCAATATTTACAATAAAATGTTTTAAAAGATAGACATCTACATATTTAATACAGCAATAACAAATATAAGTGCACCTCCCCAATATATGGTTTTCTTTTGCAAAGAAAAATCCTAAGAGAAAATACAAAAAATTTAATCAGTGGCTATTTCTTTTATTATTATTATTATTATTATTACAAGAGGCTATTTCTGGTGTAGTGATTTAAATGTTTCTGGATTTAATTTTTCTTTTACCATAAATGTGTTACCTTTACCAACCAGTTATTGTAGACAGGAAACATTTTCATGTGCAAATTACACTACTTGTAAATTTAAGTTGCTCTAGAATCTGTGCAGAATGGATATACTTAACCATTCATTCGTTCATCATTCATCATTCATCCCTTATTGCACAGCATAGCAGTCATGAGAGGGCCCTGAAAAGGAAGTCCTAATGGAACTGAGCTACTCGGGAGAACCCGATAGACAGAGGCACACCTTTAAAGTGGGGCAGGCCCCCGTGCTGGGGACGATAGCAACCACAGAGGCCTTCCCTGCTCCCACCATTTCTTCTCTGCTTCGGGAGTGAGCACTTGGGGGTCCCCGGGTAGGGAAACCTGTGTCAGTGTGGTCAGCCCTCTGTCCCCACCCCAGTACTCAGATGGTGCAGAGCACAGGCTGCCAGAGGGAGTTGTGGCCCTGGAATCCCACTGGCTCTGCCCTCCTCCAGATGCCCACCTGGGCTGCCCTTGCCAACAGTACCCCCTCCCCCATGCATGACCCCTCTCCAAAAGTACCAATACCTGGTACCAGCTTTGAAGTGGGGTACAGGGCACATCACAGGCTTAGCCCCCCAGACTTTTGACTTCGCCTGATGATCCCACGTCCTTGCAATTCTGTTTTGTTCTAAAGTACAATGAGTGGGCAATATTAATCCCTTCAGCATATGCTGGATGCATCCTATGTACCACCCTGGGCTTTTGGGGTACATCAGTGGATGAATGGGCCCTGGATCCCCATCCCTGAGGAGGAGACAGACAAAATGCCACGAACAGGACACATGAGCAAATGACAAGCTGCTCTGGGAGGTGACAATGTCTGTGGGGAGCAGGAACCAGGGCAAGGGTCGGTGCAGTGGGGCAGTTACTGCCCTGCCACCAGATCTCGGGAGGCATCACTACAGGCCCCACAGAGAAGGCCACTGTGACCCAGCACCTACAGAAGGCCAGGAAGCAGCCAGGTGGAAATCTGGAGGGGGAGTGGTATGGGCAGAGGGGATCTCAACAGCGAGGAGACTTAATGGAGGATGAAGCCAGAGCTGTTCTGCAGGCTAGCCAGGGTCTGGATCGTGTGGCAGGCTGGCTGTGCTTAGTGGAAGGGTCGTGGTCAGTGGCTTATGCAAGAGGATGAGTGTGATCTGCAGAGAGCTCTCGAGGGTCCCAGCTGCTGGGTGGACAAGACGCCAGGATGGCTGGGCAGAGACAGGGATGCCCATGAGGCTATTGCCAAGACGCA